CGGGCCAGACGACGGGCCCCGAGCCATCCAAGCTGCTCTGTTTGACACAAGCTTCATTTCTCTATGTATGCGCTGGTTTTCTGTGCAATTTATGACCCTTGCTGACAGGTTACGCAGGGGATGCCTTCGTTGTCGGTGAAATCCATATTGAATGCGCCCAGTCTAACGATATCTTGTAGCGCGCCGTTCTTGGCTCTGATGCTTGTGCTTCAGGTATGTTTAGTATCCGCCCGTGATTGATTGGCCTGACCTATGCTGTGTAGATGTTCCTGTCTGTGCGAGCCGCTGCCCGGAACGTGAAACTGGAACCCAACCCTGTCCGGGAATGGACGGTCTGTCTGTCTCGCACGGCACACGGGGGCACAACTGATGCGATCACCAGATGCTTGTGGCGCCATACATCGCTCTGGGCCTGACCATGATCGCCACTGCCATGGTGAGCTCTGCCACACGATGAATTGAGGTTGGCTCGAACACAGTCTAGATCGGGGCGTCTGATCTGAGTAGAGTGTCCCGCACTCGGCGATTTTTCTATTGCTCAGTAGCGTTCCCGGCATTGTACGTGTGGTCTTCTGGAGCGCATGGTCTCCCGTCTCAAGGCTCAACAGGTCAGGAACGATTACTATCGTCGCAGCGGTGCTCCTGATGGCCACCATCGTCCTCGAAGGTGGGCACATCGTTGTCCCGGATTCAGTGGGATTGACCACCTTAGTTTGGACGCTGGTGATCCTGTACAAGCTCTCGAAGAGGCAAGGAGACCGTCGATCCGCCTTCGAGTTCAACATGTCTGTCCGAGTCATGGTTTTCGGGCTTTATGTCATCGTGGCTATGGGCCTAAGCGTCATGAGTGTGGCCTCGGCCGACTCTAAGAGCCCACTGCCTGATTTGGTGATCGCCGGCGCCGCGACATTCATCCTCGGCATCTTCGGAACCCAGCGAGTGCGAATTTCGATGTTTCTGTCATCTCCCATTCAGTTCATCTAATGATTCATCAGGACATTTTGCTGGCACTGTGTTTCTGGCGGCCTTCGCCGCCTCCACTGGATTTCGAGAGTAGCCAGTTTCAGTCGGAGAAGTCTGCGACCTATTTGCCATGAGAAGATTTGGCCGTTTATCCGTTGTCATTTCACCCATCGTGTAATCGTAGTTCGACGTTTTTGCGAATGGAGAGGACCCTTCGAGTCGCATACTGAATAATCTTGATGCAAGTTCGAGGCAGAGGCCATACAGCCACACATGTACAAAGGACATCAATTTTGATTCCAATTTCTGGTTTTCCCTCTGTTCTCCGTCACCTCCAGAACGCGCCTTTCTAGAATGGCAGTACGTTCCACCACCTCGCTCGCATTCACCATTTTGACTGAATTGGTACACAGAGTCGTTGCTCCCCCCTCCTGCGCGCCGCGACGCGACCAAACTTCGTCCTCGGGTGCGTAGCTCAACTTTTCAGCACTCATCCCGCGCACGAACCAGCCACACAGCTCCTCGCGGAACCCTATCTCCTCTCGATGGCTCGCAACCGCCACCGAAGCGGCCCCGAAATCCACCCCCCCTCCCCCGCCCGCCAAGGCGTCCGCCGACCCCACCGTCTCGCGACTCGTGAACGACATTGCGGGGCTGACGCTACTGCAGGCGTCTGACTTGGTCACACATCTCAAGGTGCGTGGCGGCCCTCCTACCGTCCCTGGACGAGCGACGCTGACGGTGTGCTGCTGCAGTCGCGGCTGAATATCCAGGAAGTCGCTATGCCCGTGGCTTCGGCCGCCGCACCTGCTGCTGCTGCTGCCGAGGCGGAGGAGGTTGCTGAGGTACGTGTCTCGTGATTCGGGGTGACTCGTCCATTCTAACCTCTCTACAGAAACCAAAAGAGAAGACCGTGTTCAACGTTGTTCTCGACTCGTTCGACGCGGCTGCTAAGCCCAAGATCATCCGTGAAGTCAAGGCGCTCGTCCCGAACTTGACGTTAATAGAGGTTCGTCGTGCTCGTATACTTACGGTACTCCGAATCTCATGCATGCACGCTTCACAGGCCAAGAAGTTTGTCGAGTCCCTGCCCAAGGTCCTCAAGGAAAATTTGGGCAAGGAGGACGCCGAGAAGATGAAGAAGGCCTTTGCGGACCTCGGTGCAGTGGTCAAGCTGGATTAATTTGACGTAGTGCATATCCATCCGCGAAATATATGAGTGAAGATACGATTTAGGAGTGGATTATGTTAGAGTCCTGGGACGCGAGAGCCATCGCAGTCAGTCCTCCGACAGATATCGGTACTCGAATCGGAAGTCGGACTTCTTACGCTGGCACCACGATCCCTCCCAGTCAAAGTAGACATAGATGCCTTGCTCGTACTCCTCAGTAATCGCCTGAGGCTCCGAGTGTCGCTGGAACCATGTCAAGTATTTGACATGGAATCGCCACGACTGGCGCTTCAGCTCCTTGGCCGCAAGGTACCTTGGGAATTCGCCGTCAGATTCACATGACAGGGGCGGAGCGGCCTGGACACCCACTGCTGATAGGTCCCGGGCAGATAATAGAACACGTAAAAGAGCGTCTCTACGTCAAGCTGCGAGAAGATTGCGGCAGTACTCAACAGGGGATGCGGCGATTGAGGATAATAGGCCTGTGTCGTGAACGGATTGCGAGGCACGTAGTATTTGGCCCTGAGTAAGCTCAGCACATCGGATAAGCCTGGACTTGCCCAACACACTTTTCGGTGTCCTGCGGCTGAGGGACGTTGGAATACCCGCCCTGGAGGATCTTGTGCACCTGATCGAGATTCGACATCCGTACTGCGGCTGTAAAAGGGACGTGAGCCGGGGACAAGTGAGAGAATCCTGCACACCAACCCTTTTGCTTGACCGCCTCGAAAGACACCACGAGATCCGATAAAGACCCTGGGAAGGCACCAGCACTGGTCCGCGACGGTGCTGTTCCCATGGACTGCTCGCTCTGCGACATCTTGACCCCGGGAGGAAACTGAGGCGTAGACTGTAATCGATCTGATTAACCGTGTGAAGCAGAGTTGAGGAAACCGACCTGTCGAGGTATGGCAGCTGATGACGGTGGCTACAAAGAGATTCAGCAGCAGTCCGGGGAACGACTGGCCAGTCCACGTACACTGGGAGAATGGGTATCTGCTCGTGATGGTGAGTCTACGAGTATGAGTGAGCGACATGTGCGTCCAAAGCTACAGCAGCCACACCATTGCGCGGTCTAGGCGGTGAGGAGGTTGCCGCTGGTCCCCCGAGAGAGCTTGGCACGCCTTCCGACAGCGCAGGAGACGAGAAATCCGGCTGATGAGAGACGGAGGCAGACGATGACAGCATCGGACTTGTCACGGAAGGATGAGTCAGACTGGGTGACGACAGCGCTGTGTCGGTGGGCGGACTTGCTTGAGATCGCCCAGCGGAAGGCGACATGACAACAGGTGCTGGGGGTGCAGGTTGGGAGGAAGTAGAAGCATGCACATTGCTTCCTCCAGCCGCGGCAACGGAATACCGCACGGCTGGCAACGTGGCCTGTCTTGTTGGTGCTGGCGGAGGTGCCGGTGCCGGTGCCGGTGCCGAAGGCAGGCCAGCTTTCAAAATACTTGACATAGGTTGTTGCGCAAAATTTGGGTGCGGTGGAGGTTTGGATGGTGTAGCTGATGTCAATAAGTTTGGAACAACCGGAACGACAATTCGATATACCATCAATCGAGGATTCTGCGGCGGGCTCATCAATCTCGGAGACCACAGAAAAGATCTAGCACTCACTTCGAAGTTGTAGAGTGACTGCGGCCTTCTTTAATATTGGACTTTTGCTATTGGCAGCGCTTTCTTCGTCAATCTTCTTTGGCAACGGTCGAGGTGGAGGGAGATCTACAGGAAGTCATCAGGTCGTGTGACTCTGCCTGAGATCGGCAACAAACCTTCGCTAGCTTCATCAGAGTCGTCCGATTCATCCTCTTCAGCTGCTATGCCAAATTGTTCTTCCTCTTCGTCGAGATTGAGGTCGTCATAGATTCCATCATCTTCGCCGACGCCCTCCTCCGTATTGGTTTCAACATAGTACTGCACATCTTCTTTCAGCGACAGCACTTTGTCCGCCGAGAGAGATCCGTTATTCAAGAGCCGCAGAATGATTTCCAATCGTCCGATGTGGAATTTTCGTCGCTCGTTCAAGGTCTCCAGTTCGTCTAGTCGACTGGCCGCAGATCCCGACTTGTTCTTCTTCTTCCCTGTAACCTGCAGGGTCTCGATCTCCGCTTCTGCCTGTTCCACTTGCATCTGCAACTCCTCGACCTGACTTTGACACCAGGCTATCGTGTCCTCCTTCTCCTGCTCCTTCGGATCTAGCTTGGCCGCTTGTATAAGCCCTTCTTTCGAGAACGCCTTCGTCTTCATTTCCTTTTCTGTCGCCTTGAATCTCTCCATTTGCTAAGACACCGGAAGGGCAAGATGAGTGTGTATTCATAACAGGACCGGAGTTGTGAATAGCATGGAGTGCACGAGCACAATCCGTATGTAGACGCACCGTCTCTATTAGTTTCCGATTCTCCAGCAACTGACTCTTGTCTTTAATATCATTACTCGTCAGCCAGTTCTTGATCTGGTCTCGTAAACGTTGCAGTTTCTTGATTTGCGTCTTCAGCTCCAGCTCGAGTTTCTCTTTCTGAGGCTGTTGCCAACGAATACTGAGTGCCCGAAAGGTTTTGCAGAAAGCAGAGGGGTAGAACCTGATTTGTCGATGCCTGCATTTTGTCGTATATGCTTTCGAATAGCTCGACGCCCTCCGAGACTTTCTTGAGGGTTCGGTCAATTTCGGCTAAGATAGCATATGAGAATCGAGCATTTCTGTGTCATAGGACAGACTTTGGAGTTTCCTGGCCGCCATTCCGTCGGTGGTCAAGGACAATGAAGAGTGGCTTTGCCCTTACTTGGCTGCGCCCTCTGATGCATCAACAATCACTCGATTGGTCACGATGACACATCATAATCTTATCTTGCAAATCCGTGCGCCGTTGCATAACTCAACTCTTCACCTCGGCTACAAGTTCCTACGACGCCTTTGCGACGGGTTCGGTCTATTTTGCTCGGACCGTCGACTACGTTTAACGTTTGAGACAGGTCTATTCTCTTCGGTGGACGTGATTTAGCGTCTCATTAGTCAAATAGGTCGTGATGGCAGCGTCGGCCCTTCAAGACACAGTGCATGAGCTGCGTTCGCGCTTGGACCTCTTTGAAGCCAACCGGCCGGCGTTTCGTGATTCGTCATGTGTGTTGTGGTCCACGGATCATGGGAGGAAGGACTGGAGGGGCAGATGACCGTGTGATTGAAAGGAAACAACGAGATGATAGTGCAATTTCGATCTGATTTTTGAGTCATATGCTGCCGATGGCGACCAACAAAGCAGCGAGGGTAGGAGATGTCGACGTTTGAGGACATATGCCCATTGTAGCGTGCCTTGAGAGCCTATACATCTGCTCGATCTGCTGCCATCTTTGACGGATGAATGAACGTTAGATACGTGTGCTCTGAAGCAGTGCAGCCGATATACATAGTTGTTTGTCTCACTTCCTCTTCAAACTGTACTACTTGCACCGCCGGGGCGCTAATGAAAGGTCTCCGCAAGTCTCTCAACGGACACAAGGATGGTGGCGTGCGGGCTCAAATATCGACCCCCGTGCCCCTCCCCTCGGTTTCGCGACCCCCTGCCGCCATCATGCCGCCTCAGAAAGTGATTCGTGCTATGAGCGGCTACCGACCCCAGGCACCTCAAGAGCTCCCTTTCCAAAAGGGCGACTTCTTTCACGTCCTGCGCGATGAAGAGCAGGGGTCCTACTATGAGGCGCATAACCCCATCTCCGGCGCACGAGGACTAGTTCCCAAAGCCCTGTTCGAGGAATTTAACAAGGATTCGGCAGCGTCAGTCGTCATCAGCTCTTTTCTACGCGTGTTTCTTGCTCAATTTATGCCTTTAGTACGCGCAACGTCAGTGCCCCTGGTCAGCGGGCCACCATAGGTCGGCCGCCAAGCCAAGCCAAACCGCCACTCAAATCCCAGGTCTTTTACGCTATCGTTCAGCACGATTTCTTCGCTGAGAGGGCAGACGAACTCGAGGCTAAGCGGGGAGATGCGATTACCGTCGTTGCGCAGTCAAATCGGGAGTGGTTCGTGGCTAAACCAATCGGACGGATTGGACGGCCTGGTCTGATCCCGGTGTCGTTTGTGGAGATCCACGATCCGTCGACGGGTCAGGCCATCCAAGATGTGAACTCGCTGATGGACCGTGGTGACTTGCCAAAGGTGGAGGATTGGAAAAAGGCGATGTTCAATTACAAGCAGAACAGCATCGCGCTGGGGGTCGTCGATGCCCCGCCTTCCTCATCATCCCCACGAGACTCTGCCCCGAGCAGTCCTTACTTGACGCAGAAAACGCAGATCGCACCCATATCCTCAGAAGCCACCATCGCCCCACCAGCATCCGAGCTGATGGACCCTTCCTCCACTGAAACAGCAGACATACAACCGGAAGGACTACTGCTGTCCGCTAACGTGGTTTCTTTCCATTTCGAGATGGAAGAGTACTGGTTCCGCATCGACGCCGTTTACCAGCCATATGCTGCCCCTGGTCGGGCACTCCCATCTGCCAAATCACTCATCCTGTTTCGCGTCTATAACGACTTTTACGATTTCCAAGTCTCTCTCTTGAACGAATTTCCTCGCGAAGCCGGGCGGAATCCACCGCACCCTCGAATTCTCCCATTCATGCCGGGCCCAGCTGAGGACGTCGACGATGCACTGACTGCAACGCGGCGAGCAGAGCTGGACGAGTATGTTATCGGTTTGCGGGATTTGAGCTCTGTGGGCGGCAGGTACGTTCTAGAGCATTCCATTGTGCGAGAGTTCCTCGCCATCAAGCCCGGAGACATGGAGACTGCGTTGCCGCCCCGAGTTGACGAACTCGAAGCAATCTTAGCTGCTGGGGAAGACGGCGACGATGAGTTGCAGGACTCTTTGGGAAGACTGCGGGTGGATGAAAGGCAGACTGTGCACAGTGATGGCTCGGATTACGAGGACGACAACTTCGGACAGAACCCGTACGGTCAACTGAGCGGCAGGCGGACCCCCGACAGCAGTCTGCGAGTTCAGGCGATGACCAACAATCACCGGCGAACAGGCTCGAACTCATCTCAGAACCAGCCTTACGGGCGATCGGACTCTATATCACCACCTCCGACTCGATGGGCCGAAGCATCGAACAACAACCGGCCAGTGATGCCGACGTCTCCATCTTCTTCATCTCTACACTCTAATTCCATGTCATCACGCTCCCGGTCAGGCTCCGTTGCCAACGCGAATTCGCCGTCGATATCAGCCGCTAATCCCCAAACCGCATTTGTGAAGATCAAAATATTCGACCGCGTGGCGGACGATCTCATTGCTATTCGAGTGCATCCACGCGTCACGCATATGGAGCTCATGGACAAGGTCCAGCATCGGTTGGGCGGCGAGGTTGCCCAGCTCAAATACCGACAAAGCTTGAGCAACGAGCTGGTCGAGCTGGGCAACGACCAGCAACTGCGTGCTTGGATAGACGGCACGGACAAACATGTGTTGTATGCCGAGTAGTTCAGGCTGGGACTCTTGGATTTCATAACTATTTCGTTCTCTCATCTAGCCTTTGAGTCTTTATCCATTGCCGCATGTAATAGTAATGTTGCTTATATTCTGCGATCTGGTACACTTAGTTAGTTTGTATCCTTTACACGACTTAGAACCACAGTCATTCATCTGTATGTATCTCACCTTGCATCTGCAAGATGCGCTCGCCGCTGCAGGACCCCAAACAGGCATCAACACCGTCATCATTGCTTCCCTTCTCCTTCCATGCCGTCGTTGCAGCGATATTTGCGGAGCATCTACCGCGTCGGGTTCCGGGAGTGGTGGAGACAGCTGAATTATATTGGCGACGCCAAGTCCGGACGTTTCGTCGGAGCGGACCAGTTCGTTCAATGAACGTGTTTGCCCAATCTACTTGCTCACTGGAAGTTGCTCAGGTTCGGGAACAAGTACTACGAGAACTACAATGCTGAGGAAGAGGTTCCTGGTGCGTCCTCGCCGCTTATTCTAGCCTACGCCCAGATGTGAACCCCGCTCAGGTCGGCAGCGATGGGTAGACTTTGCTCAGGTGCGCGCCGCAGGAATCCTTCCTCCCGCTTCGCTTTTGACAGTATCCTCTTTCGCAGCATCACTACCACGCCTCCCAAGTCCCACCTGAGTGGCACTCGTGGATCTCGCATATCCGCAAGGACGCGCCGACGCAGGACGCGGTCATGATCTCGTCGGCTCAGCCATGGCAGCAAGTGCGCCGAGATTCTAGTCCATCTGTTTCTCTATTGCTCACGTTGTCTTTTTGCTTGTTTCTAGCCTTGGACGGAGAACCTCACTGGAACCCGAGGAGCATATAAACCCTACAACACTGTTGCTCCGAAAATCAACGCATGGGAACCCACGGTCACTCCGAGAGCATGATATTGCAGTCATTATGTACAATGCGGAGAGCCGTCACCGAATACTAGATGTGTCGAGCCCGAGGGAGTGCTCAACGACGTGCTCGGCAATGGCAAGCGAGGAGGTCAGCCCTGGGCTCTCGATGCCCAACAAACTAACCAGTGGGCCTCCTCTGGCAAAGTCCGTTCGGATTACGAAGTCTTGAAACCCGCCAGTCGGTCCTGCGAGCTTTGGTCGAAACCCGACGTAGTCTGGCTGCAGACCATCGAGGATGACTTTCGGAAGATATCGCGTCACGGCTTGATGCATCTCTTGCAGCTGGATGTTGTTTGCTGTGAGATGTTGTGACCAGAAGTCGGGACCTTCGCCGTCTTGTGGCGATAACCACTCCAGGTCAGGCCCGAATCTCACGTTTCCTTGTAGGTCGAGTGTGAGATGTGTCCCCAGAGATTGGAAGCCATGAGAGCTGCCTTGCGTCTCCGGGCAGGGATAGATCAAGTGTGAGATTCCGGTCACGCCTGGACCGCGGTATTTCGCGTAAGATCCTTTTGCAAAGTACATCTTCAACCGTTCCGATGGTGGAAGCAGTGTGTTCGTTATCAGCGGAGCGGAGAGGCCTGCGGCGTTCACCAGCGTCTTCACGAACAGCGAGTCGCTCGAGTCGCCGGTGATGACCTGTACCACCCAGCCGCATCTGTCTTCGTCCCTGTCCACGCGAACGACGTCGGACGAGTACGCCAGATCGCCGCCGGACTCTGTAATGTCTTTCTCGAGACTGCCCATGAAGGCGTGCGAATCAATGATCCCCGTTTCCGGGGACCAGAGCGCACCGGATATCGAATCTGAGAGATTGGGTTCCATCTCACGCGCCTGGTCGCCAGATATGAGTGCCGTGGGAACGGCCGGCGCGTCCGGCTTCGCGGAGCGAGAGTCGGAAGGCCAGTGGCGGAGGCTCAGGGCCTTTTCGTGCAGCGCGGCGATGTAAGGCTGCTGCGCTTTCGTTGCAACGACCAGCTTGCCCAGTTTCCGGTGCGGGACGTTGTGTGCGTCGCAGTATGCGTAGAGCAGCTCGCGGCCCCGGATGCAGAGACGCGTTTTGAGCGAGTGGGGTGGATAGTACAGGCCTGCGATCGCTTGAGCTGCGAAAAGACGTGGAATATTCAGCAGGCACGCGCACCCGAGTGGATGACTTCGGAGTTGCGCGAACTAATCGAGGGGATGAATATTCACTAGAAAACCACGAGCGGAACGCGCTCACCTGGTCTCTTCGCCCTGTCCAATTCAATTGAGGGGAGATGGAGTAGGTTGAAAGCTTACTGCAACAGGATGACGCTCTACCACTATCGTCGACTTGTCAGGGAACTTTTGGCAGAGTTCGCGTCCAATGGCTAGTCCGACCACCCCTGCGAGCTGATGAGCTTGAACACCGCGAGAGCGGATGAGTTTCATACCAGCCCCCACAACGAGAAAGTCTACAGCGGATTCCGGTGCCTTGAATGCATGCTTGTGGTTGAGGCTGGATATGATCGCGCGAACGGACATCGGGTGGCTGTGAGATTAGCCATCAGCATCAGAACAGGCCGCAGTCAGGGCTTCGACCCGTTGTCCTTCCATTGTCTCTACTCGACAAACCTTGGACTAGCTTGGCTGCCGACCCGCCTGACAAAGAGCATCCGTAATCCGACACTCGCGACCGTTGGTCGCAGCTACAGTACCAGATACCCGCGGTCACGGACACCGCCAATGCAGGATACTATAGTCTGAGCGATCAACCCTTGCAGGGCAAAGGCTCAGCGGTCTATGCCAGTAAGCTTGCATGAGAATGCATCAGTCGTACGTCGGGTCTGCAGTCCGTCTGTCCTTTCGATCTTACGGTATGCGCATGTCTCTCATATCATCGTGATCTGCAGCTTGCATCTTTGCGAAGCACGATTTGATATTTCTGAAGCTTATCGTACTCCGGCTGTGCTCGCGGGGGCTCTGGGCATCTCGCCTGAGCATCCCTTATCCCAGTTCCTCTCGTTTTTTGGCTGTCAAGTGATGTCTGGGCCGCCACACACCGCATGACTTCGAACAGGCAGTCCTTTGATTTCGGCGGCGCGGACGATCACAGACCCGACGAGCGCATGTTCTTATGACAAGCTCGTGGGGAAGCTTCCGCCATGGACAGATCTTCTATCCCAATGCATACCATTCGGCGACGAATCTGGATGTTTCGGCACAGGGACACGCTTATCCGTTGCACATCAACGTCGGGATGGGACGGGCGGTGGATATAAAATGGCCTGCAGGTCGCACGGATTGATAGTATCCAGCACTCGCAGAGTACGCTCGGAGACCCTCCCCCTTCCACTCCAGGCATGCGTCTCTCTCTGGTCTTTGCACACCTTGCGGCGGTCATCGCGCTCTCTGGGGCGAACCCGTTGTTCTCCCGGGCAAATCTGGTCGTGCATGACAGCGTGAAACAGGTGCCGGCGGATTGGGCGAAGCACCCCAGCGCAGTCCCGGCCACCAAGCCACTCACCCTGCGTATTGCATTGGCAAGCTCGGACCGTGCCGGCCTGGAGAAGCTGACTTACTCTGTGTCCAATCCCTCGAGTGCATCTTACGGGCAGCATTTGACTCCCGCAGAGGTTCGTCGCTGGTCCAGGTGATCCTGCTCTGTGTAATATTAATCCTGTTTCCAGATCGCTGAGTACGTGAAACCGACCTCAGAGACGCTGGCCACAGTCGATGCTTGGCTTGCGTCCAACGGGCTGACAAGCAAACCGGTCACCAACGCTGGCGACATCATCGAGATCACGCTGCCTGTGAGCCAGGCCAACAGCCTCCTCGCCGCGAACTTCACCTCGTTCACGCATCTTCCGTCCGGGGAACTGAGCGTCCGCACGCTCAAGTACTCGGTGCCCGCTGTGCTGTCGAGCCAGATCAAGTACATCCACCCGACCGTCGCGTTCGTGCCCCCGATGAAGAACACACCCGAACTGGCTCCGGTCAAGCTGTCGCCCAAGAGCAGCAAGCGCGAAGTTGTGGAGGTTCCGACAAAACGTGCCACCGCACCAGCGTCCTGTGCCACCGCTGTCACTCCGGTGTGTCGTGTTTATATGTTGTCTCTTCCCTGAACCTTATGGCTGTCACAGGCCTGTCTGATCGACTTCTATGGCTTCCCGCTGGCACACGCAAACCACTCGGCCGTCAACAACACATTGGGTGTTGCTGGCTATATCCTCGTAAGCAGCGTACGTTCCCTGGCGAATCTTCCGCTTCTCACTCTCGGCGAGTAGCAATACGCCAACCATGTCGATCTTGACGTAAGCTCCTGCTTCTGTGCCTTGCTGCGGTTGATTTACCTTGGCCACAGAACTTTCTGTCCCTCCTCCGTCCCGACCAAATCGGCGCCAACTTCAGCCTCCTCACCATCGACGGTGGAATCAACGACCAGGACATCAAGTAGGGCCTGTTTTTTTTCTCCGCAAGTCAGTTGAAATCAATCCTCTCCCTCAGCAATGGCGGCATCGAAGCGGACTTGGATATCGAGATGGCTGTCGGAATGGCCGCCGGTGTTCCGGTCACTTTCATCTCGGTTGGGAACGACTTTGTGGACAATGTCAACGGGTTCATCGTCAGTCTTTTCGCCTTTTCGATTCTGCGACTGTCACTCATCCGGTCTGACTAGGACATCGTCAACGAGATCTTGTCGCTCCCGGCTGAGACCAGACCCACAGTTCTGACCACCAGCTATGGGTTCAACGAACCGGATCTGCCAGCTGAGCTGTCTATGTAAGAATTATGTTTTCTGTGGCAATATGTACTGAAACAAGAACCAGTGGCATGTGCGACGCTTACATGCAACTCGGTGCCGCTGGAATCTCCGTGTTCTTTGCCTCGGGCGACGGTAGGTTATCTGCATCATTAGATCCGTCCTTTCGGGCGTTGTGCTGATGGCATCCCAGGCGGCGTCAGCGGAATCCAGTCTCAATCCTGCACGACCTTCATTCCCACCGCTCCCTCCGGCTGTCCTTTGTCCGTCTCTCCTGTTCCATTGCTGCCAGCAGGGTATCTTATCGGCCAACAGCGTGACTTCCGTCGGAGGCTCCACCGGCCTCCAGCCTCAGGTCGCAGCCTCTCTGAGTGGCGGTGGATTCTCCAACGTCTTCCCGGTACCAGACTACCAGCTCAGCGTGGTCAGCTCCTACATCTCATCCATCGGCACCCAATACGCAGGATTGTACAACACCTCAGGCCGTGGCATTCCGGACATTGCTGCTCAGGCAGAATCCGTCGAAATTGGCTGGGGTGCGTCGAACTCTTTTACGCTCTGCAATCCTCTGACTGATAGCGTATGCGAATAGTTGATGAGGTTCGCATTGAGGCCTTCTTGTCCATTCATCAGGAGCTGACTTGGCTGCTAGTTCTGGCTTGTCAGCGGAACGTCCTGCGCGACGCCCATCTTTGCTAGCATGGTCTCGCTCGTCAACGATCGCCTCATCGCCGCAGGCCGACCTGTGCTCGGTTTCCTGAACCCATTCTTGTACAGCCCGGCCGGCAGAGCTGCCTTCACAGACGTCACTTCCGGCACCAACCCCGGATGCGGACATCGTGCGCTCGTCTCTCAGTCTGTCTGGCATCGATGCTAACCTTATTCGAAGCGGATTCTCGGCCTCGGTGGGATGGGATCCGCTCACCGGTCTTGGGACACCTAACTTTGACTTGTTCCTCGCTGCGGTGGGATTGTAGAGGATCTGTAATGTATAGTCGTGCAATGGGAAACTTGATCCATAGGCATGTAAGATTGGAAGCAGGACATAGATGAGATGTGGTAGGACATGGAAGATGCAAGTAAGGACAACATGGAAGTAGCGAGCAAGTACACGGTGTTGGTCTCGGAACGACGATTTCAACATCTCAGACACATAGGATTGCCTCATTGCGGCGGGGGCGTCCTTGGTCCTAGCAGAAATGGTTATCGCGCTCGACCAGCTGCAGGTGCAAAGGCACGCACCGAAGAGCCCACTTCTCGGAGGCGGAGTGACCATCGCCCGGCCTGGTGCAACGGGCGCCGCCAGCAACGGATTCGCTGGACGCATGAAAGATAGCAATGAGCAGGGCGCAAATCCGAGTCCGTTCAAGGTCACGCACGTCTCCAGTTGGCCCAAGCAGGGAGATTGGGTGCCGGCGTCGGGGGCGGCATCGGTGCGGGTGTCGGTGCGGGTGGCGGGGCTGCCGCCGGTGGGGCTCGCACACGCCGTGCTCTCGGGACGGGGCGCGGAGACGGTGCGCCATCCGCCTGGTGCTGGGGCAGCTGGGGGCGGAGGCTCTATCATGGCCAATGGAGGAGACTCGATCGCCGGCGGCTATGGTGATTTGGAAGGTCAAGGTAGATGAGGGATAGGCGGAACAGGACTTCAGGGATATGATGCACGGGATGGTCGAGTTTCAGCGTACGGGAGGCATCCATCCAGCGTAGATTCCTTCTGCACTGTGCTTCGCCTTGATGGCCATGAGCTCGGAGATCTCGCTGACGGTCGTTGATCAGGCGACGAAGCCAGGCATGAAGCGGGGAGACGGACTACTGCAGCTCCCTCTTCTCATCGCGCAGCTTTCCCACCTCGCTGAGCAGGATCTTGACCTCGCCTGCGAGCGCCTTGCTGAAGTCCGTCATGTACCTGCGCTTGTCGGGATGTGTTATTGAGCGGGACGCGACCAGTTCGACGCACTTCGGGTTCGGGGGCTGCGACGAGCGGCCGCCGTTTGGCGTCGTCATTGTGGGTTGCGAAAGATAGTTGGAAGTACGAGATGGATCAGCAACAAGAGCGTGGAGTCGCGAGGCAGTGGCAGTGCTTCTTGAGCCGTAATTTCGATAAGGCGGAGATTGAGCTTATCTAGTATCGATATTGATTATCACTAGCGGTCTTGCCGCCGGCCCGTCAGCCTGGAATGAATTCATTTCCAACTTTTGCTGCTCACAGGACGCTCCCTATTCACCCTTCCCAGACCCACCGGAATCGTAGGAATTGCTGTTCGTCGCAGCCGATGATGTCACCGGATCGAAATGAGGCGGCGATGCCAATATCAATGGCGGTGTCAGGTGCACAGGAACGTTGGCTGATGTGAGCTGCGGCGCTCCTTCCGAGCACCCAACGCCCTCCATGCACCCGACACGGGACGAACTCGAACTGGTATCGCAGCTCTTTGCCTCCGGGGAGCCCAAGACGCTCGACGCCATCACCGGGACCCACGCCCTGGCGCTGTTCGCGAACACAGGCCTTTCAGACGAGGTCCGCCGCACCCGGGATCCGGATTTGCGTAATGGATAACATGCATCTAGGTTCTGGGACAGATATGGTCCATTGCAGACAAGGACTCGAATGGACAGCTCTCGCGGGACGAGACTGGGGCGCTGCTGAGGCTGATGGGGTGGGCACAGGCGGGAGTGAAGCCCAGTCCTGATCTTTTGGAGAAGCGTGCGTCCGAGATGGGCTGCCCGGCGACGCAGGCTCACTTGTTTTGGATAGCCGGCCCTACAGCGCGTATTCCCTCCGTCTCCATCCCGGGACCTTCGAAGACACCCGCTCCCGTCCTCCCACCACTGACGCCAACAGACAAGGCAAATTTCTGAAGCTGTTCTATAGCAACGGACCAGTTGAAGGTTTTGTTAGTGGTCCGTGCTTGCTCTTTCGTGACGTGCATCTCCCTTATACTGGTCCGCAGGGGACAGAGCGAGAGAAGTCATGTCAAAATCCAAACTGCCCGTCGAGAAGCTTTCCAGGATCTGGTACGTGCGTTCTCACTACTGTTACCCAAGCGTCGATGTACGAGCGCCGTAGGGATCTCTCAGACCGGACAACACGCGGTGCATTGGATTCGACGTCTTTCGTTGTGGCCATGTATCTCATCCAAGGGCTCATGAGCCATACTCTCTCCGCTCTTCCCGACACACTCCCGGATTGGCTGTTCGATCAGGCTTCTGCTGTGCCCCCGTCTCCATCCATTGTCATATCAACGACACCATCTCAAGATCCATTTGCGTCTCCGCACGACGAGACTCCAAGGAGCTGGGATATACCAGCCGAGATACGTGCCAATTCAGATCGCATATTTGATTCCCTGGATCCGCTGCGAACAGGTTTCGTGTCGGACAGTGTCACGCTTCCTCTGCTGTTGGAGTCGAAGCTTCCTCCAGATGAACTGGCGAAGATTTGGTGAGCATCGCGCACGCTTTTCCGTGCGCCTGCGATCTCATGTCGAGGAGGTCCCAGGCAGATATCCGCGGCGACGGCAAACTCACTCGAGAAGGGTTTGCGATTGCGCAGTTCTTGGTCAGGCAACGGTTGGGAAGCAATGCTCGAACAAAACCAATGCCGCCCGCGAAGCCGCCGAATCTCGTTGACCACCGACGTGTCCGATCCGCCTCGGCGGTGAATGCGCTGGACAAGCCTGTGCCTCCCCTGCCGACGGGTCGGCTGCTTACTCCGACACTGCAACCAGCACCATTCAGATATAGCACCGCACCGCCGCTTCCGGTTCGAGATGTTCAGGCTGGTCTCCCAAGGCGATCGTCATTCGTGCTGTATCCCACGCTCCCAACACAGTCAAGCGACGCTCTCCCCATGCGACCCGATCGCGCAGAGGGTGAGGATCGATCTGTTCTCGTAGAATTCCGCTCTGAATGTTCGAAGCCGAAGCTGCGATCGCGCGACTGAATCGGCAATTGCGAGACATGCAAGACTCGATCACACAGCTGCGCGAGACGGCGGCGCAGAAGACGGCCATGGTGACAACCGTCACGCAAGAGAACGAGTCTCTCCGGGTTGTTATCGAGGAGTTGCAGGTGCAGCTGGTCAACAACGAGCGCGATACGCATCAAGTTCTCAATCAAGTCCTCGGCAAGGAAAACGACGCACTGCGGAAGGCTCTCAACACCGCCGAGAAGGAGCTTAAACAGCTTCAATCGGCGAGTTCCGATATAGAGATGCAGCGAATCCAGTACGAAGATCTTGTACGAGAAAACGAGCGCCTGTCAAGACAGATCGAGGAGATGCGAGAGTCGACGACCCAGCTTCCTTGGGCAGGCGGCGATTCGGAACTACAGACGCTCATCAACGAGGATCTCGCGCGGGAAAACGCGCGGCTGCGGGGAGTGGAGCGCGACACGCGGGAGAACGTGGCCCAGTTGCAAGAGGCCGCAGCCGGATTCGAGGTCCAGCGGGGAAGGAATGCCGATCTCATGCGCGACAACGAGCGATTACAGGCCACCGCGCGTCGAGTGCAGGCCAATCTGGACACCCAGCAGCAGCAGGTTGCGCAGCTGACACGAGAACTGGAAAGATACAAATCGAACGCGAGGACTTCCGCGCCTGCCAGAGCAGGTCCGAGTCGAGAGGCGGATGTTCCACCACCTGCGTACGAGGAATTGGACTTGAACGGGATTGTTTGATGGATCTGTGTATTATCATCTCAAGTAAATGTATTCGATCCATTTCTACTGCCATCTTTCCTACAGAGCGAGAGAAGAACGCGCTTCGACTCGTCATCCGACGGATGGTTCGATAGTCAGATCAACCAATGTGCCTCTGAGCGCATCGAGGAACGGTGGATGTGGATCTTCGACCGATGCCGCCAGAGAGAAGCAGAGGTCTGGTGAGGTAAGGATTTGTTGTCATCAACGCTCACTGATGGACGTTACTATCATGCGTCACATTTTGAGCAGGCAAAATGGAGACATATGGTCTCCGCCAACAAGGTTCGAGAGCGCATCACATGTCGTGGACTGTCCCTGCATCAACGGTGTACATCGAGTCTAAACGAAACACAAACATTCTAGAACCAAGCGAGATCTAAGAATGCGAATCGTTTCTGGGGATGGAACGGCCGAGAGCTTCAACGGCATCATGTAAAACAGCCGTAATCGCACTTCTGGCCGCAGCGTCGGTCCCATCACCAGTCGCACGCAAGGCCTCGAGCGCGGCGAGATCTATCGGCTGCCCGAAAACGACGCCCAGTTGCGTGCCCGGCCGCGGAAGATATTTATACGGAAATGCGCGACCCTCGGGCATGAGGTGCTCAAATCCGCTGAGCCACATGGGTAGGATGACGGGGAGCGCGGAGACTTCCATCAGGACACGTCCGCTATCGAAAACAAATGAGCCCATGAGAGTCTGATCATGAGTCCGATGAAGGCTCACTGACACGCCCCATTTGAACCGCGGCAGCTGTAACAGTCCATCATCGTTTACGGGATAGTGCTGATGGATCTTTCCCTCGCTGAAGAAGTGGACCTGTTGGAGACATTGGGTGAGAAGATAGTCCAGGAGTGGGATGGGCGCACCCACCCAATTCCCTTGGTTGAGCTTCCGGATTGCGGCATCAACGGACGGCTGGTAGATGCCCATCCCGCGGAAGGTCTCGAGCACGTTTCCGTGGCGAAAAAAGGCAGAGAAGAGGCTTCAGAGGGCAAGGCACATGAATGAGAACTCAAATGACGCGTGTCGAAACGCGTAGCTCACGGATTAGTGAACATGACGTCCGACGCGCCGAGCGTCCAGCGGGTGGTTCGACGCTTCAGAAAGTATTTCGTTGGGATGGCACCCCATACGAGGGGATCATCAAGACTGCGGAGATTCGGATGGTTGCCTCACAGCTTGAACAGAGACAAGGCAGTACACACGTCGAGATGTGATTTGCAACTGCGATCAAGTCCCGGGTGAGCCAAATCAATGCAAAGAGCTGGAAAACCTACCTGTAATTACACCGTTCGAGCGCGAACCCTCGAGAGCAGCCTCAAGGTGCGGAAGCCCGCGTACGGACGCGGGACATATCGTCTTCAGAGCGGCCTTGCACGTCAGCTGTGCCACCAAAGGGAGCAGCATAGTGACCTCGCAGATCCAAATAAAGCCACACTTCGAGCTTAGTCATTGCCCCAAGATAAAGTCTCGTCTCACTCACGTCCAACTGTACGAGTTGACGACGGCCAGCAGGCGCCATGCTGGCCCAACTTCCGGCTTTCCTCCCATGGCTCGCTGCCCTCACGATGGTTTATGTCTTCATGTGGTTCTCTGTCTGGTCGGCCGATGACGGTCTTGACGCTCACGAGTCCGGTCTTGCCCTGGTTGCATCCCGTGCGCACCCTCTCTCCGTCCGCCCCTTCAACTTGCCTTGCTCAACATAACCCTTCTTTCCCTCCACAGGCAATCCGTTCAGAGAGCAAGGTCCCCCGGCCAACATGGCCAAGCTCATCCTTCTACGACACAAGGTGTGTGGGGAAGCATGCGCCGAAGCTTCCAAAGCCTGATGCAAGACCTTCTCTTCTTGCAGATTCAGACATCCACAAAAAGACGTCGGAGCCCCTCACAAGTCCGCCAACCCCACCGAGCCTGTCATCTCAGCCAACCCATCGTCCCCCGTCAACCCTCACCATGGGTGCGCTTCCCCAAAGCGGCCTTCGGCGGAAAACAATACCACTAGTTCTATCATTATTGCCGCCCCCTTTCGCATGCTATAATACCCACTGCTGTCTTTCTTCTTAACGGCACCTTTTGCTTTGGTGTTTGGGATATAATGCTTGTTTGCCTTGAATCACAGTTGTAAAATACAGTGCTAGATGAATCACAAAACAAATACCACAACATTGTCGACTGCCCTAATCAAAGCGGGCGCTTCGTTCGACAGCGACCTGCTTCAAGATACCGGATCCCTTGGGTTTCCGCCGCTCCTGAGCTGCAGCCACCGCCGCTTGCGCTGCACTACCCCTCACAGATCCACCACCAGCTTTGGTACGTTGTCCAATGACGGTCGTCCGCCCAGAAACATGCCCAGTCCCAGCATTCCCTGCGCGTTTCTCGCTCCTCGCCCACTGCTGCATCCGGAGGTCTTGTTGGCTCTTATGGTCTGACATCGCATGATGACCCTAGCATGATATCAACATCACGTCATTCGACACGATCACATGACCATTACCTCGCGTTTCGCGACCACTTTCACTCTCGGCTGATCTTCGTCCGAGTCGTGATCGACCCATGATACGTCCTCCACGTCCATTTCCGGCTGTGACGCGCGTCAGCGGATTCGGTAATGGCATGCTTACAGGGATCGCTTACAGCGTCGTGCAGGTCCTCGTTGTCCTTGAGCTCACGGATTCGTTGCACGATTTCGCTCCGCGAGACCGTTTCTCGGCTGTCCTCCTCCTCTTCATCCAGAGTCATAGCCATATCGCTGTCCGGAACTGCGTTTTGGAGATACGCAAGGTCGGCATCATCACCAAAAATCAAGTCGTTCTTGTAGACTTGTGCGAAAGCATTCGTCTGCGGATTGTTGGCTGGAACAACTGGTCAGAAATTGTCAGAGGAAGCACAGCAGCACGAATTACCCAATTCAGTTACGTCACCCCGGACGATGACTGGCTCATTACCCAACCCTCTTCTCATCTTGCGAGCTCTCAGATCGTCCTCCTCGTCTTCACTGTCGCTGTCATCGACACCCAGACGGTTCCTCCGTTTCTTCTTCCTCAACTCTCCTTGTACAGCAGCTTGGTGGAGCTTCTCGATCTCTAGATCGTCTTCGTGGATCTGCTCCTGGTACTTTTCCATCACCAGATTTTCCGACACCTTCACCTCTCCGTCATCCACGAGCGTCTCAAGAGTCTGGTCCAAATCCTCGTTGTTCTCGTCTTCCTCCGGATCATCGGATTTACGGCCGAATCCAAATGCAGCAGCCATCTCATCCTCATCGGACTCTTGAGCCTCTTCGAATACAAACTCTGACTTTTCAAGCGGTTTCCTAGGTTTCCGGGCTGCTTTGACCTTCGCAATGGGCGACACTGGTGCTGGTGATGGCGAAGGCGTTCGAGTTCGGGTCCGCCTTAGCAAACGGCGTCGAGGAGAAGGCCCTGGGGGGCTATCGAACTGGGAAGGTTCGACGAGCGACAATGTGCTGAGGGGTCTCCGCAGCTGAGTCATGGAAACGCTCGGCTGAGGTGGCAGTGGATCTGGAGAGGAAGGCCGGTAGAGCTCAGCTTCATCATCAGGCTTAGTCTGTGTCAGAAATCTGGGAAAGCGACGATCGGCATATGGCAAGTAAAAAAGATAGAACGACGCACCCGTGGGCATTGATGTACAACTCTTTCTCTTCTGGGCCCTGTTTCTTGTGCACGGCCTCCACCAGATATTCCTGCTCCTTCTCAAAAATATCACCAGCTTGGCGTCGGAATTGTTCGTCGACGTTCCTGATCAAATCCCCATTTAGCTCCACGTCTTGTGTCAGATCTAAAGCGAGTCCAGGACCCCTTCGAAGCGCCGCGAAACTGGCAGGCTGGAGGCACCGATGAGCAAGTCTGCGTCGGAAAGTTCTGAAAGATCTCGCACCTTCAACGACCTCTTGCCCTGCGTGCCATCGTCAAAGATATCCGAGAACCCAGGTCTCAAAACATCCTGATCATCCGAGAACTGAGAAAACGCTGCTGTCTTCGCTATTCCAAGAGGCCGGACGCTGGGCTGAGGGGACAATTGACTGTTACCGGGATCGCTCTCGCGCTGGGAAGATCGCTGCAGCTGCGCAGTGAAGTCGAGTGCGCCAACGGACAGGCCCATTGACAGAGGTCTTCTCCGGCTCATGAGAGCGTCATCGTCTTCTTCAACATCGGTGTCAACGCGTTCATGCTGGCTGGGAGACATTGAAAGACTCCTCTGCATGCCCTCTTCGAGTCCAAACAGCGAGCTGTGCCGTGAAAGAGGCCCAGGGCGGTCACCGAGTGGTCGACGAGTGATGGAAAGGACCACGTTCTCCTTGTCTTCATTGATGGCGACCATATTCTCCTTGTCTTCATTCAGCTCATCCATGTTCTCCTTGTCCTCGTTCTCTTCGTCTTCGCTGTCCGATAGAATAGGCTGGGGTCGACGGGTCATCACACGATTCAGCATGGGGCTGTTCTCGTCGTTTTCGTCGTTCTCATTTTCTTCATTCTCGTTCTCGTCATTCTCGCTATCATCTTCGTCCTCGTCGTCGACCATCGTAGTATCGGGATCTTCCATGAAAGACGACTCTGGCCTCTCCTCGGTCCAGTCTTCATCGCTCGCGTCGTCCGACAGGTCTTCGCGATCCAGATGCATCCTCGCCTCTGCATTCCTCTGCCCTTTCTCAGCAATCGCCTGAATGGCTCCTCTCATCGAGCTATCCCCATCAGCACCAACGACCGGAGCGACCTGCCCACCCCGCCTCTGCCACTCCTCCTCCTTTCGCGTCGTCTCTTGCCTATTATTCTCTGTCACTCGAGCCTTGAGTAACGCATTCAATTCCGCTTCGGTCTTGGCAGCGGCGAAGGACTGCGGCTGGGACTTGTGTTGATGCGCTCGTTGCACGGACGGTGTGATCCCGCTTAGTGCCAACTGTTGTCGAACTCCGATGGACTGTCGGTGTCGATTGTCACTGTGCTGCCGAACGTTGCCGTCCAGCCTGCCATTCGGCACAATCTCCAGTTCGTCGTCATCGTCCGATACGTCGACTGCAGCGCGTTTCTGGGCCAGCGCTGCGAGTTGCAGCTTCCGTTCCATCAGTTCACGCTGATGTTGCTCGTGCGCCTGCTTTTGTTTGAGATGCGCGTGGATCGTGCTGACCTCGGGCAAGTCTTCGCCGTCTTCGTCGAGCACAGGCATTGGGTCTATGGCAGATCGGGTTGGGCTCGGAGCTGGTGGAAGCATCGCCTCTTCATCTGCCTCTGGGCGAACGGGGGTAGCCGCAACCCGCGTCACGTTCGGTGAAGAAGAGAACGCTGTGATGGGATCATCCATTGACATCGTTGTCCCAAGCGGAGGCTTACTGCACAGATCATGTCAGAGCTTTAGCACTATGACTGCCTGAGAGACTTACTGGAGCGTTTGGAAAAATTGCCTCAAAGTCTTATTGGTACCAGGCATAGAGGTTTGTAGCGCAGCTTGACGCATGCCAGCGATCCGGCTGCGGTCACGAGCTGTATCTTGTATCTCTTTCTTGGACACTGCCTGGAAGAAAATTTAGTCAAGATCGAAAGAGCGAGAGGCAGAGACTGACTTTGACTTTCGGCCCGCTGGCCCTTCGTTTCAGAGTCGATTCGGGGATTTCCGTGAATCTCAGAGGATGAACCTGACCTCTGGACGAAGAGGTTTGCTTGCTCTTGCCTTTGCTCGATCGAGGTTGAAGTGTGATGTTCGCTGGAAGATCCTCATCACCCGAAGTTGGAGGTGTCGAGGATCGACGTGGTTTACTGGCAGAGGAGTCCGCAGTGGGGGCCAGAGGAGATGTCCCCTTGCTGCCATTGTCTGATTCTTCATCGGAATCGACCATGGTGGGGCGCCGTTTGGCCACCGGGCCTTGACGGCGTTTAGGAATGGCAGGAGGAGGTGACGCTGACACCGAGCGAATCGTTGATAGCGATTCGCCCAGTGCATTCGTAGTAGAATTTGCGCGGAAGATAGGCGAGTTCGGTTGTGTTGGGATTGCTTCATCGATTTCCGGAGGCGTCGGCGCTTGGAGCGCGGCCGACGCGTTCCCGAACTTCAATGTGGGTGTCACAAGCGCGCTCGACTCTTCAGCATCCTCCATATCATCGAAATCCTTCATCCTCGCCTTCCAGCCAAAATCTAACATGGGCAACGCGTCATTGGTCCCGGCGTGGCTTCCTTCGTCATCGGACGTAGCCACGTCAGAGTGTGTCGTGTCCAGGGTAGCTACAAAACATCTATGAGTGTCGTATGGGCACAGAAAATTCGGCCATATGTATTACCTTTTGTTTTCGTGGAAATCGGTACGCTTGGTCCACTCTCGTCGAAGACAGGCGCCGATACATCTGGCTTGGGCCTACCATACGTCCGTACGACTTTGATGGGTGGCAGATTTGACATAAATCTAAGCACTGCGGTAAATAATTGGGAGAGAGTGGAAGAAAGGGTGTAGATGGAAAGCAGGCCAAGGAAAACGCTCTGGCGCTGCAGTCGAGTGTGGTTGGTTGTTGAGGAAAGTCACAGTCACGCGTTACTATACGCGTTCAACCCTAACCTAGCCTTCATCTCATGCCATCATTCCTCCTGTCCTACACTAACGCACGCCCAGTAGCGCTCAGCGTTCAGCCTTCTTAGAGCCTGCTTGGAGTTAAGCGGACCTGCAGCCTAAGCCCCTCTTCCGCCCGACCCCTCTTCACCCGACCGCTTTCTTGTGGAACTGAATAACGATGTCGGACGAGGAACGACGACGATAGCGACCACGTGTTATCAATCAGCTCACCTACTCTTGAAAGACCTGGAGAATAACGTTGTTCGTCATGTACAGAGCGTCTGGTCCGGCTTGAAAGGTCATAACCACTTCTTCCACGCTCATCTGTGCCATGATACGACTCGCGTGCGGCAGGTTTCTTGGGACGCGACAATGTCCTCGAAGTTGCAGTCGGTCTCATTATGGCTGGCGGCTTCTCGAAACTCGTCAACTCCTTCATATCCGATGTTCTTCTGCCCCCGATCTCGTTGTTGCCTTTCCTTGGAAGAAATCTGCCTGCTAAATTTGCTGTCCTCCGCTCTGGCCCCAATCCGCCGTATAATACAGTCGAACAAGCTACTGAAGATGGTTTGTTATCCACTCGCTAAGAATTCCCCGTCGATTCTTATCTCAGGACAGGCGCCATAACTCTTGCTTGGGGTGCTTTTCTGGACAACCTGATAACTTTCTTTGCACTAGGTGCTGTTCTATACACTTACGCTCAATTATACGCCATCTTCACCAAAGAGTCCATCATCAAACACATTGTGAAATGCAAATATTGTCGCAAGGATATATCCGCAAGTGTATGTATTTCTGCAGCACAACTTTCAAACTTCTAAACAAAGTATTCCAGGCTAAACGCTGTGCTTTCTGCACTAGCTGGACTGATGGTCGAGATGAGAAGCAGGCTCAGCCAACTCACAGTGATCACCCTCTTGATTCGTAACGTGCGGCATGCGGACATGATAATCTTTTGGATATTGACTGGATGTACTCATTGGACCCTGCTTTCGCGATATTTATTTCGACTCGCCGTGGCCATTTGAACATTGAAAATAATGATATCGACGATTTTCTCGGGATACCGAAATGGGAAAAAGATTCTGGCTAGCTCAGCTATCCCGAGTAGCCTTGTATTCATCGATCCACTTCTTCTCTGCATCTCCTTTGGGCAGCACAACGAAAGTCAGACACCCGTCTTTCAGCTCGAGTCCATCCTTGAGCTCGCCCTCCTTCTCTTTTGCGGCTGTGCACACTTCTCGAAGCGACATCTTCTTGCCCACCTTCAACAACCGTTTCCTTCGCGTCATCGCGTACACAGCCAACTTCCCATCCACATATTCGTGCTTCGTGTCCCAAGCTGGCGGCGGTGCTTGGGGTGGAAACATGACTGCTAGATGACTGGAGAACGGCGTGTCTTCGACGAATTCAGGTATTATGTCGGATGTCGCGTATTGAGGATAGAGGAAGAACACGGGGATGATCAACGACGTCCCCGTTGGATCCTCGGGATCAAAATGAGGTTCGTATGGATTATCAAGATCGTCTTTCTTCTTCAGCACGATCAGATTCCGTTCCTAGGATGTGTGAATACCTAGCCGGACATATGCAGCCGAACACGGCACACCTTGAAAGCAGCGAGCATCTTGTACCTCGCCTCTTGCTCCTTTCGCAAACGTTCTTGCTTCTCTCTCTCTTTCTTTTCCTTCGCGTCCTTCTTGCTCTGTGCCTGTGCACGCACGGACTGCACGCCCTTGTTTTCAGAGTCGAACTGCAGACATCGGTCGCAGCAGTCAATCGCCTCCTCTGCCCTATCAAGGGCCACCAGCGCAAGAGCTGAGCGGTAGTACGCTTTCGAAGAACGCGCGTTGAGAGTGATAGCCTTGGAGCAGTCGCGCAGGACTGAGCCGTAATTTTCTTCGGTCGCGCGTCAGATTAGATTGTCGACATCATCATCCAACCCAGCACTTGCTTAGTTCCAGATTCGCAGCAGCTCGGTTGCAGAGCAGGGCTTCATGCAGGACGGGATCGGTAGGTTTTGCATCGATCCCCTGTGTGTAGAACCCTTGAGCTTCACGATATCGCCGGCCCTTGAAGTAGTCATTCCCTTGATCCTTGAAGTTTTCGGCCACCTCTGCAGAGAGTCAATATAGACCCTCGCTAATCAGCTTGGGGGAGACTGGCCATCGGGAGTTCCTTCATGAGCAAGACTCTGCAAAGCAGCAATCATGGGATCATCCGTGCTTTCCTCCGGGAGTGATTTCATGAACAAAGGGATGGAGTCGAGCTCCGCCATCTTCTCCTCAAAAGTAGCATTTGAGCGCGGTCGCTCTGGGCCGAACTGCCTGAACAGATCGTCGTCGTCCATCGTCGTTCTAGGTAAAGATAGAGATGGTATTGCAGTCATGGATCGGATCGTGATGATCTAATCCGGATCAAGATTTTTGTGCCGACGTTACACAGCAGTGCACACCTCGTCTTCAACTTCAACTTTTAAGTCGCACCATGGCCTCCAACGACAACGACCCTTTCTACCTCAGGTATGGTTATCATCCGGCTCTCCCCTCTGATCTGACACACTCCCCAGATACTAGTGAGTATTTGCGCCTCCAATGCCAGGATTCACCTCTCAATCCATTTTCGCAGCACCGGCCACTCTGGCAAGCACGGCCACGAGTTTCTGGAGTTCGAGTACTCCCATGGACGTCTCCGATACGCCAACAACTCCAACTACCGTAACGACAGTCTCATTCGCAAAGAGAGTGCGTTTTCCGTCGCGCCTTTTCAAGGTGACGCGCAGCTGATCCCCGTCGTCCACAGTGTGGGTCGGCCCGCTCGTCGTGAAAGAGCTGAAGCGGATCGTCGAATCGAGCGAAATCACCAAGTACGTGTCTGGTTCCAGCGCCTGACCACCACGTCCTCACCGTCCTTGCTCGTCCTCAGGGAAGACGACACCAACTGGCCGAAGAAAAACATCGTCGGCAAGCAGGAGCTCGAGATTCGCGTGGGGAACGATCATATCGCGTTTGAGGTCCGTCGCACATGCGCTTCGGCGTGCTTTAAGGCCTGACAGCAGGCCAGACCGCCAAAATCGGCTCGCTCGTCGATATCCAGGACAGCGAAGACCCCGAAGGACTTCGCGTGTTCTACTATCTTGTCCAAGATCTCAAGGTCTGTTCTTCCCCACCAGAGCGTTCAGGGCACTTATCGAGCTGTATAGTGTCTCATCTTCTCTCTCATCTCCCTCCACTTCAAGATCAAGCCTATTTAGAGGCTCTCTGCCGGAGTAGATTGCGAATGAATTCTTGGTATTGTAAAGAAGATCTCAGCGACCATGAGCATCAGGCTGGTCTTCACCCCGTCAAGAAAACGTGCAAGTTCCGTGTCTGGTGAGCCTCACTGTATAACTTCCACTTCATCACATCTGATCTTCCTTCTCAGGCGTGTGTTTGTATGCACCACAAATGAAATAATACAGAAAACAGCTGCTCTTCCAGCCAAAATCTTTGAGAAACATGTAATACATAAACGTACTGGTCCCTTTGAACGACCGTATCAGCTGTTGTTGTGCTCGATCAAAGCGGAGGAAATGTTGAAAAGTCCAAAACAGGTGCCAAGAAACCCACGCGGTGGTGTCCTTCCTACCACTTGAGGGACAGTTAACTTTTTGTTGGGGAGTCGAAAGAAGGACCAAGATAGGGGCGAGAATTAATATTACCTTTCACTCACGGTCACGCCAAGCTGCCAACCGCCAGGGATTACTCGTACAAGACTAGACAAGACTCTAAATGAGCTGATACAGATGTGAATGCTAGGTGATGAGTGTAGATATTCCATGAGAATGAGATAACATCATAAATCAAGCCACCACATCCGCAGAACTAAAACTGCTTCGCCTCCTCCGCACGGGCCGCAACCCTGGCCGCTCAGACTTGGTCGCCGGCACCACGACCGCATCCACATTCGTCTTCATCCACGCGTCCGACTGCTCCTTAGGGGCGCGCTTCAGAGTCGCACTCGCTACATCCGTCAACGCAGCAGTTGCTGCCTGCCTTCTCGTCGTCGCCAGTGTCGGCAACCGCGAAGGCGTCGGCGAGGGCGGCGGGTTCGGTCGTCGAATCGCAGCAACGGCAGCCTTGGCGGCCGCTGTCGTGCGAGTGGTAGCTAATCGCGGGATCTTATTCGGGCCCTGCGATCCTTTCGAAGTCGTCGCCGGTGCCTTGCTCGTTGACGCCTTGCTCGTTGAAGCCTTGGCGGACGCCCCACTAGTCCCCGTGCTCTGCGATGAATTTACTGGAGGCCTTCTGCCCACTGCAGCAGCAACCGTAGTCGATCGAGTGACGCGGTGCGTTCGAGAATCAGACGAAGTGGGTGCCTTTGGTTTTCCCGCTGCTTTGCTCCGTGCCCCGGCAATTGGCAACGCCGGCAGCGTATCACTATCTTCATCATTATCGCGCCCGAGCTCATCCTCCGAGTCAAATTCCAATGTACGTTTAGTGGTCGGTGTCTTCCGTGGCTGACCTGGCGTTGCAATAGCTTTGGCCTGTGCCTGGGCTGCTGCGATGTGCCGACTGGGTGTGACGGGCACTGCAACGCCTTTCGTAGGAGAGGGAGGCGGAGTGGTCGACATCGGAACGGCAGGTAGATCCTCCTCCGCAGGCGGTGTTGCAGGTGTGACCACAGTCGCCGAGGCCAGGATCGCGGCAGCCTGCTGTCTCTTGACCTCATCCACGGCCGCCCACTTCGACCACTCCAGCTGCTTGAGATACATGTATTGCTGCTGGGGGCCAACCACACTTCCAGGTCGGACGATGCGCATGAACGCGATCGCCTCATTCGCCGTGAAGCCGTATTTCCAAATCAGATACGCGCCTATGAGCGTACCTGTTCGGCCAAGTCCTGCTTTACACTGCGAACCATGTTAGATATCGTATCAGTGGCATCTTAAGACAACGCACGTGGACTGCCACTGCGCCACCAGCCTCGATGATCCGGTCGGACACATCCAGAAATGTCCGCACAATCTCGTCTGTCGGATTCGTACCATCGTCAAAGTACAACTCCATGTGCTCGATTCCGCGGTCCAGGAATGTGTTCCGGTCGTACAGCTCCGTGTTCAGGCGCACGACGAGCTTGATGTTTCGTTTCTCAAAGTAGTCCAAACAATTGAGGAATGGCGTGGGCAGCTTTCGCTGCAGAGCGGAGGACGACGTGCCCGGCGCCTTCTCCTTCGCTTCCTTCTCCTTCTTTATCCAAGCCGAGTCCACAGGTGATGCGAACGCAATAAAATTTGGCGTCAGCCAGTTCCAGTCTCCGTTCTCCACCTTCTCGTAGAACTCGTATTCCTCGACACTGAACTCGTTCATGTCACACAGCCCGTGCTGCATCGCCTTCCACATACCCCATAGACAATCCTGGATGTTTAGATTGAAGTCGGACGGCCCACGCCCCGCGTCCCGAAATGGCATAAACTCCATCTCTGCGATCGGGTGAAAGGCTTCCCAAGGGGCACGCCGGTGCACGATCATCTGATAGGATGGCGTCAGTGGCGATCACACTATCTTGAGACGCGCACGGACGACAAACAGCGCGAGCAACAACGCAGCATTCGCCTTGCGTCTCGGATCGTCGGAGGAATACAGCACCAGCCGATGGGGCCCGAGGTCTTTGTCCTTTGAGTGGACAAAACACACGTGGCACGTGAGCGTTACACGGGCGGCAGAACCACGCACGCACCTCGAGGAGTTCGTGTATCAGAATGCATGCTTTGTAGACCATCGCGATGTTGAGGGGACCCCAGTCTTGGAAGAAGGAGAGGTACAGCAGCTGGTCGTCGATCGTGAAGTAGTAGTACGACGCGGTCTCGTCTGCCGCCGCGACCTCTGGATCTCGTGGACGCGTGCGAACGCGCGGGCGATTATCGGGTTCAGCGGCGAGGCGGTTAAGGACCATAGGGTTCGGCGTCGGGTGCGGAAATGTAGTGAAATAGAGTCTGTGCGACAGCGGCAAGGTGGGTTCAACGCGTTGAATGCCATGCAGGAAAGTAAGGGTACCTATCGCCGAAACGGCACAGTGGCTCACACTTCGGTGGCATCTTTGAGAGATTACGAAGTGGAGGACGGCAAGGTGCTTCGGGACGAAGGAAGAACGCGACGAAGTTGGTGTTTCGAAGCCAGACAAACAAGAGCAAACTCGTTTGCATGCACAGAAAAGGAAACGAGTAGTAAATCAGTTATGTACTGTAACAGCTGAATTCGGCCCGAATATGAACCATTGCATACAATACTCACAATACCACACAAAAATATTTTAGTGAATGTGGCTCAGATGATTATTGCACCATTGCCTCGAATGCGGCGCGTCCATTTTTTCGGGGAACATCAACTGACCGTCAGAGCTGAGATGTCACACGCTAAAGATTGGATGCGGCCGAAAACATGGCCCCGGAGACGGCTGACATAGATCCATGTACTATAACGCAAGATAATGTGTCGCCTATTTCTCGGAGTGATTGTCAGACACATGTTAGATGAAGTGCAGCAGACCACTGTAGCCATATTTGACTGCGGGGACTGCCTGACATGGCTTGTCGTAGCAGCGTAAGAAACATATGTCCCAGAGAGGCAGACTTGAGCCGTATGCCACATTACTCGAGGGTGCAAGGGTTCTCAGAGGGCTCGGCAACGCACCGTGGACGAGCGGAAGGATGAAGACGTTATAAGATTTTGAGCCAGTACCCGCGCACAAAAAGAAAGACGTGTCGTTGGCCCGACGAAAGAAGGACGAACAGGCGAGCTGTGAGAATCATGTACCACGGTGTTGGTAGAGAAATCCGCGAGGCCGAATCCCACGGAGGCTTGCGGAAAGCCAAACGCTGCTGCAGCAGAGGACAAGTTCTGCATGATGTCGGTTCCAGAACGTCTAGCGCCCAAGACACGAGGTTCTGCGGGCAGCGGCATTCCCGAGCGACTCTGTGTGAGTTCCGCAACATCTATCTCATTTGTTCCTCCACCCCATGTGCATCAGATTTGGCTTTCTGGAGATCGGCCAAGTCGTGCCCAGCTTACTTGGCTGGAGCCGATACTGCTCGAACAAGGCAAACATTCCAAAGCCTTGAAAAAAGATTCGCGACTTCGCAATCATGCATGGACACAGTCAAGAGACAAGAGAGGACTGAATCACCCTCGATTGTACCCACAAACATTTCGAGGGGAGTGTCAGATGCCGACCGTTGCCAGATTTCAGCTAATTAGAGTCGGTGCGATGAAAGGAGGGTCCTTCCTTGAAAGAGGAGCGAGCTGATGCGGGTGAATCGTGGGGTGGGGAACGCGTAGGATTGCCTGTGCCTCATCTTGCTACCAGCAGAGTGCTCAGAGCTCAGCAATGAGACTTTGCTGCGCGGAATTTTTGCGAGCGCCTTACGCACATTCACAAGAAGCCAGGGAGTCGAGATTTTGAAGAGCGGTGCTAGCCCCAACATTCCCCAGGCTCGCGTCCATTGTGACACTCCATAGACGACCGTTCCACGCCCGGATTCGCTGAAATGTCGCCTTGATCGAAATATTTGGAATCAGACGCGCAAATCGCGTCCTCAGAAACATAAACGCGGAGTCGTGGGCCTGGCCGACGCGCACATGGCACCGGTGCATGTTCCGATGATTGATCAGTCTGTGAGCTCTTGTTTGGCCGTCTCTTGCTCGAGGCTGACCATTCGTGGCTTTTGTGGCAGCCAGGGACCCGCTGCTGCCTCAGGACCGCGCTCTCCGTTAACACATCACCTCGTTCTCTCGTCTCCCTCACTACGCTTCCGAGATGCCAGACCATCAAATCTTCAAGGCGAGTTTTTTCCCTTCCGCCTGCAGAACGCACATTCTCAACGTCTTGCCCGTCGTAATACAGGCCACTTACAGTGGTATTCCGGTGTACGAGATGTATGGGTTGTTCGGCGCGATGAAACACGTCCATTGACCTCTCTGACACGTAGGATGTGCAAGGGCGTTGCGGTGATGAGACGGCGCTCCGATTCCTGGCTCAACGCAACCCAAATCCTTAAAGTCGCGGGATTTGATAAGCCCCAGCGCACCCGTGTTCTAGAGCGAGAGGTTCAAAAGGGCGAGCATGAGAAGGTTCAGGGAGGCTATGGCAAATATCAAGGTTCGCGTGCTTGTTCATTACGCTCATGTACAAGGAGTGTAAACCGTGTCTAGGAACGTGGATTCCGCTGGAAAGAGGTCTTGCTCTCGCCAAACAGTACAACTGCGAAAGCATGCTGCGACCCATCATCGACTTCCAGCCTGCAGCCAAGAGTCCTCCCTTGGCCCCTAAGCATGTTATCGCTAGCGGCTCGTCTACAGTCCGCCCCTCCAGACGCTCTCATGCAGAAACTGACAGCCCCATGGTCAGCACACGATCCTCTCGACGCCATGTAGACGTCCCTGATGAGGAGTCTGAACACGAAACCATGTCGGACCGTGGGTCGGAGGACGGGTCCATGACCCCTTCTCCTTCCGAAGCTTCTTCTAGCTCACGTACGCCGTCGCCGATACACAGTCCGGGCTCGCACGTGTCTAACGGTCGTGATGCTGGTCGACGAAGACACCACAGTCCATCGAAGGGACCGGACCCACGCCAATACGCAGATCAACTACTGGAGTTCTTCATCTCAGACTCGAACCAACTACCTCATTTCCTTGTCAACCCGACCCCAGATTTTGATCCCAACATGGCGATCGATGATGATGGTCACACGCCGCTGCACTGGGCCTGCGCCATGGGCCGAATTCGAGTCGTGAAGCTTTTGTTATCAGCGGGCGCGGATGTCTTCAAAGTCAACAACTCTGGCCAGACCTGTCTGATGCGCAGTGTGATGTTCGCGAACAACTATGACGTTCGCAAGTTCCCCGAACTATACGAGTTGCTCAATCGTTCGACATTGAACATCGACAATTTCAATCGTACTGTGTTCCATCACATCGTGGATGTCGCCATGTCCAAGGGGAAGACGCATGCTGCGCGCTATTACATGGAAATCGTGGTCGGGCGACTATCCGATTTCAAAGGCGAAGTAGCGGATGTCCTCAACTTCCAGGACGAGGACGGCGAGACTGCGTTGACGATGGCAGCTCGTTGTCGCAGCAAACGACTAGTCAAGCTGCTCATCGACAGCGGTGCTGACCCCAAGATCGTGAACAATGACGGCAAGAGCACGGAAGACTACATTCTGGAGGATGAGCGTTTCAGATCTTCGCCTGCTCCCGTCTCTCGGACATCGGGCATGTCATTCCGCAACGCGCATGCTGCCAACGGCTCTTATGCTTTTGGGCCCCACAATGGGGATAAACCGCCGTTACATCACTCGGTAGCTGGTCAGCGTGCCAGCACACGTTGTGTGAATGATATGACGAACATGCTGGATAGTTTGGCGGCTTCGTTTGACCAAGAGCTGCGGGACAAAGAACGCGACTCGATGCAAGCGCATGCTCTCCTGTCCAACATCCAGGCTGAGATTCTCGAAAGCCAGCGCACCGTGAACCATTTGCGGAATCAGGCTGATGGCCTCGCTGCAGCAAAACATCGCCTAAAGGAGCTCGAGGGTGTTTTGAACACCAAGATGGGCCGCAGATATCGACTGGGCTGGGAGAAGTGGGTCAGAGATGAGGAGATGCGCGAGGCGGAGATCCGTGCTGCTTCAAATGGGCAGTTGGTCTCTCCGGACGTAAACATGGACGGTGGGACTGCAGACATCTCGGACCTGCTTGCGCTCTATTCGGATCTACCTACCGACCCTGAGGGTATCCGACAAGCGGGCGAGAGTCTTCGGCAGGAGATCGACCAGTTCCGCAAACGGCGGAAGGACACTTTCGATACGCTTGTGTCGTTCCAGACGGAAGCCGGCACCAGCGCACGGATGGCTGAATACAGGCGACTTATTGGTGCTGGATGTGGTGGTGTCCCCCCGTCGGAAGTCGACCACGTGCTTGGGATGTTGCTCGAGGTGCGTTGTGCAGTGCTGATCTGCGACTCGTCCTAATAAAGTTTCTGTTAGACTCTGGAATCAGAAGAGCCGAGCTCGTCCTCTACTGCATGGGGGAAAGCGACTTGAGCAGAATATATCTCCTTATTTGTATCTACTCTCTGTGTCCACCGCGCTGTCTGTAATACGTATGTACCGCCATAAATCGAATTTCCATGTCAGACAGACACCGGAGAGTGCTTGTCCAATCAGATCCACAGTTCCGATGTCACGTGCGGAAATTACTCTCTTGCACAACCACGTCCGAATGGCGACTGCTGCTGTCCTTCCCAAAGGGCATCTGACGTCCGCCCTTTACAAGACGTTGCAAGAGGGAACGTCTGTGCCATGGACCTCCGACTTCAACCACATGCGCAAGCTCCCCCGACACATCCGCATGCACAAAAAAACGCAGGCGGACAATTTTGATCCCACCACCACGGATGCACCCAAAATCCCGAAGGAGCGTGTCAAGTTTTGGAACATTGTGCCCGGAGACCAAGTGCGCGTGCGAGGACGCTATGGGAACCGTCTCCGCGACGTGAGCAAGATTCGGAGATTGGAGAATCTGGTCGAATTCCCTCCGGTGTGCCCTGTCTATGTCTTCCGTGCCTTTTCGAGCTTATTCATGATTCATGTAGACCGACCAATCGTCGAATACCCCCAGTCCGGCGTACTCGTATGCTAGTTGCCAGCTGTACATCGGGGAATACGAGTTCCCGCCGCTTCCTGGTTCCAATGAACCCCGAAAACTACCGTACGCTCTTTGCAGTCAGTCCCGGCGTTTACGGCTCTGACGAACGTAGGGTATTCGCTGAACGGCTGTCAACTTCGCCTCCGGTGTGGAACGGGCGAAAACACCGCTGGGAGTGGGAACGTTACGCTATCAAGACGAACCCTGTGGTTCCTCATCTCAAGGACCAGAAGATCCCTGTTCCGTGGCCAGTGCCCAAGGTCCCGTTCCTTCCCCCGGGTGCGTGACTGTCGCTCCGCTAGCCAGCTCATCCACTGATGTTTCCACAGCAGGGTTATACGACACGAAAAAGTCGGTTGTCACGAAAGTGACTTACGTGCCCCCGGCGTTTGCGAGCAAGCTCACTGCACCTCTGCCTCGTGTCCCGACTGAGGACGAGTACATCGAGGGGATGTCGCATCCGACGATGAAGCCGTGGTTCGGGCAGTCGCCGCCTGTCGAGAGCTATCTGCACCGCGAGCTGTCGAACCCGCATTCACGCGCCAAGAAGATGGCCCGCTGGCAGGCGCATCTCGCCTACAAGAAGTCGCTGCTGCTGGAGTATGTCGCGGCGGAGAAGGCTGAGCTCAATGGGCGGACGGCTAAAGAGGCTGTGGCCGACGCTACTTACAAATGGCGGCAGAAGTTGTCGGACGAGCAGGAGGCGGAGAGGAAGCGGAGATGGCTCACCCTGGCTGTTGCGAAGAAGTCTGAGAAGAAGAAGGCGCGCAAGACGAGGAAGGAACAGAAGCGCAGGGCTGAGCTCACTCGTCTTATCCTTGCGGAGGGACCCAACCAAATCATACCTAAAGAAGCACTTGGTGTTTGACCACCTCTTTAATGATTATGCACTGAATTTCTGTGCCATTCTAGAGCTGGTGTGAAGCGCAAATGGTATTGTGGTCTAGTCGAGGCAATGTCTCAATCTCGGTCCGTCTCTGGTCACCGATTCATCTTCGTAGATATCTTTTACGTTCTTGGATCCTTCATGGGCCAACAATGATGATTATGGCCTAAACGACCGAGAAACTTTGGTAAGACCTGAGAGCATGCTCCTGCTTTTGGTAAGGTGCGTCTCGCGAGCAGGGTCCGCTTTCCAACTTTATGTAAAGGGTGTGCCCAAAGTGTGAATTTAAAAAGCCTGAAATATCATTGGCCTGGACCCGTTCATCTTGCTTTCCTTCTCCAATGTCAGTTTATCAGTTCGAACAATCATAACGAGAGCATTAGCACTGCAAGTGTGCGCCAAGTATTGTAGGAAGACTCCGGTGATTGCCGGAGCTAGTAGCGACAACTGGCCGGGAATGGGTTTGTCACGATATGATCGTCCGGTGGCCCTGGCGCGTTCCTCACTGCTACCACCACCATGTCATCGTCGTCCGCTCTCTACCGGCCCATCTCGAGCGATCCTGAAGCAGAAGAAATCCGAGACGAGGTCGAAACCGTCCCCGTCCCCGGCTCTGCCCTGTACCTCCGTTTCTTTGCCTCCGGAGCGTTTGCTGACTCGAACGAAGCGCTGAAGAATTGGTGGATTATCGAATCAAATGGATTCATTTTATTCTTGGAGCCGCGACGTTGCTCCCGTGGAACGGTATGGTCGGCGCTTGAGGCAGCGCGGCGTCGGGAGCTGATCTGCGCCTGCAGCGATGATAACTGCCTTCCCCTTCTTTCTCTCTCGTCTGCAAGACTCCCCGATCCGCGTGGCGGCCACATCATACATCTCTTGCTCCTTCACGTTCTCCAACTTCATCTTCCTCGCAAGGGCCACCGTGACCTCCAAGCAGGTGTGTGTCTGTACGCCTCCGGGCGCGAGCCAAGTCGCAACTCACGACATCTTCCACCAGACTTCCCCTTCAAGACGTGTCTCCTTCTCCACATTGGCTCTGGCTGTGCTCACGATGCTTCTCACGCTAAGCACGTTCACGCGGGATGTCACACCCGCGGTGTTCTTTGCCTTCGTGCTTGCCAACGGCATACTCCAGGCCGCATTCGGCGCGCACCTGCAGACAGCCATAATCGTCATCGCCTCGCTCTTCGGACCCGCGGCGGTCCAGGCGACCATGGCAGGCCAGGCGGGCGTCGCAGTGGCCGTGAGTTCCGTCCAGTTCCTCAGCGCCCTCGCCTTCGTCTGGGGCCAGTCGCCCAAGAGCCTGGAGACGTATGTGAGCGACGGCGAGCCCGAGGCGCGGTCCGCGATGATCTTCTTTGGGTTGTCGACCGTGTTTCTCGTCTTTACGGTCGCCGCGAATGCTTGGCTCGTGAACATGCCTGCCTACAGGACCATTGCGGGATCGCTGGAGCACAGGAAGGATGGCACCGGGAGCGCGGACGAGCTTCGCGGCCTTGTTTCAAGCGGCCGAGTTGAGCTTGTTGAAGAGAAGGGGCATCTTATCCGGATCGCGAAAGTCAATGGTGCGCGTGCTGTGATCATCTGCACTGGATGCCGTCCTCAGGCGCGTTTACAGCGCCGTACGAATTGGCCGTGTGCTGCGTTTTCCTCGTCACATTGGTACGTTTCTCTTCTGCAGCTACCCAAATGCGGGATGTGACGCCTCCCAACCAGGCCTGCTTCCCTGCGATCACGACATCCGTCATGCCCACAAATCCCAAGACGCACCCGCTGCTGTTCAGTGCGCTGCATTTCCTCATCTTCAACGTCGGTGATTTCGGTGGAAGATATCTGTGCTCTTTCCCGCGGCTGCTGATCTGGTCGGCGAATCGTTTGCTGACGCTGTCCTTCGCGCGGGCTCTATTCGTTCCGCTGTTCCTCATGTGCAATGTGCAGTCGCATCCCGGAGCAACAAACCCGTCGGCACCGATCATCAACTCGGATGTCATGTTCTTCCTGCTCTTGCTTCTGTTCGGCGTATCGAACGGCTATGTGTCGAGTCTCTGCCTGATGGCCGCTCCTTCGCTCGAGCACAATCCACGGCTGAGAGGGCGCAAGGAAGATGTCGATGTTGCCGCTACAGTCGCCACGTTCTGCACTGTGGGAGGTCTCGTGCTGGGCAGTTTTGCCAGCTTTGCGGTCCGTGCGGCTGTCTGCGAATGCAATCCGTTTACAGAACAGTAGTTGCATTGAGTGGAACATCATTGTACATTAAATTATGTTGAATAGATAGACTGACAGGTCGTAAAGAGATCGTGAACAGTGTGAGACGGACTAGCGAGTGGACAACATGGGCTGCCAAACCCCGTATGCGACTTCCTCCAGATGATGCAGCTCAACTCGACTATACATCACTGGAACCATGTTCATCTGAGCCAGTTGGTAAGTTCTAGGTGGTCTAAAAGCGAATCGAGAGACCGACCTGCAGATAGTGAACACAAGCCCGGGCCACTCTCCGCGCCAGTGCCTGCATGCTCACGCGACCGTCGTACACGTCCAGCGGCACCTCATACGTCAGCGGGCCGTAGCCAGACCACTGGCGTAGTATCAGTCTAGTCAAAATAAAATAAAAAACGATCAATCACGCACCCGAACGCGGAGGTGGATCCGCCGGCTCCAATTCGCATGTAGATCCTGGAGCGTGTAGCTATCGTTCCCGGACAGCCGCGTCCGAGTCGACTGCGCATCCGCGAGCGAGACGCCCGCGAGCAGCGCGCCCTTGCGCTTGAACTTGATGTTCATCGAGGACGGCGAGTGATATCCCCCGTCGGCGATGGCCGGCGGCAGCGCGCTGTACGAGACATTCGAGTGCCGGCGCGTCCGGCTCGGCGGGCGGGATGTGCTGTAGCCTATCATCCGATGGTCGTCCTCTGGGTAGTACGAGTCTCCAAAGTTTTCGTAGGCTGCAGGTTGCGATCGGTCGGCGGGTGGCACATTCGGCACGGAGGGGACTTACAAGGTCCCGTGAGACGGTGGCTGGTTCCATGCCCGTAAGAGGGGAATTGCTTCGGAGGTGTCACCCAAGCACATAGAGATATATACAAGCCACGCACCTCCACATCGTGTTCTGGGTAGCACCCATCGCTGTACGAGTAGCCTTGGTCGTGGTAGGCGGGATACTGCGCATCATGATACGGCGTCTGATATCCTCCCTGCGAGGCATACGGGAGCGAGTTCCTCCGGGACAGCGACCGCGAGAAATTGGCCATGGTGGGATGAAAGAGCCTCGAGTGAGTGGGCGAGCATGCGCTCGCAGGCAGCTCTTTATACCACCCGCAACGAGGCAGGCGAGCCTCGAGGACAAGGTCAGGTCACAACAATGGCTCGCGGGCCCAAGCGTTCCGTATCCGACCCGTGAAACAGAACGGATCGCTGTTCCGAGAGACTCAGTACCCTGCAGATGGACAGGCCATACGATAGAACAGCATTCCGATCTAGGGCGCAAAAGACGAAGCAGCAGCACATCATCAAAGCTAAAGGGGTTGGGAAAGGGAAGCAGACTGTGAGACAAAAGAGTCGAAATGAACTCTTGCTCGAGGCTACCACGCATTGCGTACCAGTGCACTGCACTGCACCTCGCCAGGCCAATAGCGAAACTTCGGGCCTCGCCAGGGGAGTGTCACATGCGAGAAACGCATTCACACGCACGTGACCGCGTTGGGAGACTAAATTAAAACCATGAAACCATATGGGTACCTACGATATGAGCACACTCAAAGCCTGCTTTGTCGCGTCCTTCGACTCCTTGATGATGGCACTGAAAGATCTGAACACCGGCGCACTCGCATCCTGCACGAGCTGGAATCCCAGACTCTCCGTCGTCGACACTACGATGCCTGCAGCCCGCATCTGGGCCCTGCACGCCGCACGGATGAGATCACTCCACGGAGAGCGAAGGAGAAGAAGGGGCTTACAGAGCGATGGGGATTTCAGCCGCGTTGGCCGATGAAACAGCATCGGCTAGGACGACGACTCTATATCCGCGTGCCACGAGGGAGAGGGCGGTTTGCAGGATGCAGATGTGTGCCTGGCCAAGACGTCAGCCGTATATCCGTATATGCATAGAGACACGTTCGTCAGCGGCCTTGCGCCGTGAGCAACGCGTCCCACTAGGATCCGCACCTCGTTACCCATCACCACTGCCGTCTTTATATGCGGTCTCGCTGTGAGATGCTCCACCACTTCAGGCGTGATCATCGAGAAGAGCGTCTTGTCAATCGGTCCGATGACTAGGCTGCCCAGCGAGGCCAGGTCGATCGCAGGGTCTGTTTGGCCGAGGGCTGGAACGGATGAGTGCCGGTGTTCCATGGACGAAGTTAACCGCGCTGACCTCGGCTCTTCTGCGTCGTGACGATAACTTCACATTCAAGAAGCTACACACAAGACGACATTCAAAATTCCGGCACAGTTCAGAGAGAGTAAACACACCTTCGCGATCTTCAGCATCTTATTGGTACTGGCCACCACCTCGTCGAAGCCATGGATCACAGTGCTGAGCGACGACCAGTCAACAGAGAGAGGAGTGAGCGGCGGGAGAAATTTCAGACCGAAATCTTTCTTGGATGTCACAGACGAAGAAGAGAGTCGAGGACGCGTCCATGTCGTTGATTATGAATGAGTCGAATAGACAAGGCGGGGTAGAGAGCGGGACAGCTGTCAAAGGCTCTCCATTTGATCCGGGGTGCCAAATCAGCGCTAGTCGTTTATCGATCATCTCCTGTTCGCACTGCGGCACAACCAAGGTCGCGCCTAACCGCTTCGAGGCGCATCCTGCACTCGCGTCCGCAACAAAGAATTATAATCATCCACAATTTCGCTTCTATCCATTACATGATGCTCGAATCTGCTTCTAGAACTTGACCTTGCTCACGACGCCGTAGAACGCTTTGCCCTGTGCGTGCGCGATCTCCAGCTCGAGAGCAGACGGCTGTCTGCTGCCGTCGGCCGACGCGAGCGTTCCGGAACCCCACGGAGATCCTGTGCAGTTCGTTACTTCTGATCCTCAAACGAACGTAGATTGGATGGTAGTATGAAGAAATGCGCATCGTGTCGTGCGGCGAAAGGCATCGAGAGCGCAGATGCGAACATCCCCGACATCTCGAACAGCAAATAATGGAATCATGGACGTGAAACTCACCACCGTGCACCTCGCTGAGGTTCGTCAGCTGGGCGAAAGTGTGTGCGTAGCCGAGGGGGACGAAGTTGATGGAGTGGTGCACATAGACGCCGAGCGTGTTCTGGATCGTGGCTTCCTGCCCTCCGCCAAGACTGGCCGTGGCGACGAACGTGCCGGCGTACTTGCCCGCGAGGGCACCAGTGGCCCACAGATCGCTGGTGTTGTCCCAGAACGCCTGATCAGAAAACACGACATTAGCAGCAGCAGGCATGGCGACGGAAGCGCGGCAGCGGGCTGACCTTCCACTGTGTGGGGAACGAGCCGAAGCGGGTCGGGATGCCCATGAGGAAGGCGTCGAAGGTTGCCAGGGTAGCCCCGTCGATGATGGGGTAATCGGGCTTGGCGGGTGCGGACATTTTCTTCAAGACCTCAGCCGAGAGCGTCTCAGGGATCCTGCGGGGGATTTAAGCGCGCTGGATGCGCTCGAGTGCGCGGGATACGGACTGGAAGATGGTTGCATCGCCGCCCGCTTCCTTGATACCCTCCTTAATGGCCTCCGCCACTGATTCCACGTCAGGCGCAATCTGTGCGGTCAAGAAGAAGAAAAGCGCACTTTTGGCGATGTGGCCGTACATGCTATAGATGACGATGGCGATCTTGGGCGAAGACATGACTAGTGAGACGGGAGGAGGAGGACGAGTTCTGAGGTGCAGAAGCAGGCGCCATGTCGCGCTTTTTATTCCAAATCCTACGTGGGCGACTAACAGTCTTGCTAAGTTGTTTCTAAGAGCCGACGATCCTGCTGATGTACTCTTAGCAATAGATTAATAATTGATCTGACCAACTACAAGCGCTCATGTCAGGATTCGAATATCTTTTACCCTCCCTCCTGGTCGGCTCACATGCTTGATGTAGGGCAACCAGTCGCTTCTTCAGGAGCCGTTAAAGACGGATCGAAAAAGCCCGAATCGCCCCAGACTCTTCCATCTATCTCAGGTATTGCGGATATGTGGGCGCTAATTTTGGTCACGTGCACGACGATCGACAGCGCTCAAGCGATCGCGCGATGAAGCGCTGGCCGCCAAATCGTGCTCCGTCATACCCGGAAGGCGTACCAGTGGGCTCGGTAAAGGCTCAATCGTCATTGGACTCATAATGTGGAGCTGCTGGTCAGTATTCGAACAGCAGCTGTGGGGCTCCGATCAGTGCCTCCCCTCAGTGCGAGGAGTGGAATCTGAATAGATTCTGAATAACCTCGGGAAAATCATGCTTTGATTTTGATGCTTAAAATGCGAGATCGTTCACTAAAAGCTATAGAAGCTAGGAAGGTTGGGATGTTTCAGGAATCGCCATATAGGATTTTGTATACTCTTCATGCAGAGGAAATATTTGCAATGCAGAGAGAGCAGAGACAGATTTTACGAGCGCCGTCTATACCCACGGCGCTACCTATCATGCCCTATCCAGCATCGAAGTAGCATTACGCTAGTCCTCTCCGCGTGACTTGCTAAACGGGCAATTGAGTAACTATATCGGGAATTGATCCGGCTGGGGGTACCCGGGCCGCTCGCGGCTGAGTTGGTTCGGTGATATTTCAGGAAAGAGTGTATCACTGAGCGCATATATCCAACGCTTAGGGAGCTTCAGAATTCTATCTCTAAGGCTCAGAAGCTTCATGACGCCGCTCCTCTCACCCCTCTACAACGGTCGATCTCAATGCTTCCCTAGAGTGCTGAGATGAAACCTCTCTTGCTTTGCTCGAACACGGCCACAACACGCGTCATGTTCACCAAGGACATCTGACTCCTACGTCTTCTGAAATCGGTGGCAGAAGATCTCCGAGATACCAAGCCGTAGTGAACTTGGGGGAAATCGAGTCGTGAACCGACACAACGTCCCCCGGGTTTCAACTATCCGTACATCAGAACCATCCGCTCTGAGTCGTCCAAGTCGATAGATTGAAGGAGGGGAGAAGAGAACCATCGATCCTCTGGATATTGCGAATATATCACCCTCCGAAGCGAACAGCTCTCCACTTTTTATCAACAGGCCGATTCGGCGGAGGCCCCCACGATGTCCAGGGCCTTGTGCCTCCTGTCCTGACCGTATAAGGTGAAAAAATTCCCGCTCGAGCCCACGGCGCACAGCGCCAAGTCGATCGTCCGTGACAGTCTACTGAGGTCATCTATATTGTTCTGACTTCTTGTTTCTGATAATTACATCTATTCTAAAAGTCTAGAACTTGACCTTGCTCACGACACCGTAGAAAGCCTTGCCCTGGGTTTGCGCGATCTCGAGCTCGAGCGCAGAGGGCTGGCGGCTGCCGTCGGAGGAGGAGACGGTTCCGGCACCCCATGGAGATCCTATAAAGTGATCAGTACTGGTCCAAGAAACTGCAAGGCGTGGATGTATGCATGAATCAACAATCGCGTGATGAGTCGCAAGGCGTAAAGAGCTCAAGTGTGATCATCGTCCACGATGTTGGACAAGTGAATGATCGAAGGACGGTACTCACCACCGTGCACCTCGCTGAGGTTGGTCAGCTGGGGGAAGGCATGTGCGTAGCCCAGGGGAACAAAGTTGATGCCGTGGTGGGCAAGGACGCTGAGGGCGTTCTGGACGGTCGCCTCCTGTCCTCCGCCGAGTCCGGCAGTAGAGACGAAGGCACCGGCGTATTTGCCGGACAGGCCTCCGGAGGCCCAGAGTCCACCGGTGGTGTCCCAGAAGGTCTAGATAAAAAAATAGGAGATTAGGAGGTATGTCGGTGGAGGTCAGGTGGTTTTTCTCACCTTCCACTGTCCGGGGAAGGTACCAAAGCGGGTGGGGATGCCCATGAGGAAGGCGTCGAAGGTGGCCAGGGTGGCCGCATCGATCACGGGGTAATCGGGCTTGGGAGGCGCATACATCTTCGTCAGAACCTCGGCGGGAAGTGTCTCAGGAATCCTGCGAGGATCGGAGGATCAGAGGGATAAATGAGGCTGTGGGCTCTATGGAACGCACTGGAAGATGGTGGCGTCACCACCAGCAGCCTTAATTCCCTCCTTGACGGCCTCCGCCACTGATGAACATCGTCAGACGCATTGAGCACGTTCAAGCAGATAAAAAGCGTACACTTGGCGATGTGGCCGTACATGGTGTAGATGACGATGGCAATCTTGGGGGAAGACATGGTTGTGTAGATGAGAGGAGAGGTTGTGAACTGCAGAAGAAGTGGCGAGGTCCCGCTCTTTATTGCAGATGTGTGGGAATAACATTCCCGCTAAGTATAGCAGATGCGCCAATCCTGCTGATGCGCTCTTTGAGATCTTACAAACAAACCGTCATTTCGGATCACCGCGCCGATGTCAGGACGTGTCTCGAATTTTAATGGGGTCTATGTTGGAGCTCCAAGACTCTGCGCACTAGGCCTCTATGACGCGTCCTGGACGCGTCAAATTTCTTAGTCGTCTGGGACACATTTTTCTTTCCTTAAAATTGTGCTATGAAATAATTGTCGGGCAAGGGCACTCGATTGATGACAGGCGGTGTCGCCGCTTGAGAATTAGAGCGTATTTCCCAATAATCAATACCCAAGCTAAGCCTCTTGGAAAGATTTGTCAGGTAATTCCACCACTAAATGCCTTCTCCAAGACAAAATTTTGCTTGAAATCGACTATCCTCTTCGGACTGGGCTGGATGTCACGTTGGCTCACGTTAGCTGGGGAGACCGCCCGAAATCGGATCAGCCGCCGGCACAAATTTCTCGGCCTGGGTTTGGCTCGGAATTCTCCGCTTCCACGTGACTCACGTCTATCACTTTCCCCGAGTTTTGAGCTTCTGTCTTACAAGTCGTCTTTGAAATCATACATCCTGCCCTCGATATGAGCAGAGTAGTATTTGGTAAGTGACGGTCGCCCGCCGCAACCAATCCGTGTTTCGATTCTGATGGGTATACTTAGTTGGCAATGTGCCGTATAACATGGGTGAACAAGCCCTCATTGATCACTTCAAGACCGTTGGCCAGGTTGTGGGGTTCAGGTCGGTGCACGCTCACCCATCCCAAGCCTCGTCTCATCGTCTCTCTCGACTCGAAGGCTCGTTTTTGACCGAGATACTGGGAAAGCGAAAGGATACGGATTCTGTGAATTTGCCGGTACGTTTCTTCCGCGTCGCCTACCTCCTGTTAGGCTATAGTGTGGTTCAAATTTTCCTTGTGCGTTCGTTTTCTGCGTGATCTCGAAAAGACCATGAAACCGCCTTGTCTGCTGTCCGAAATCTGAACAACGCCAACGTTGAAGGGCGCCCGTTGCGCATCGACCTTGCCGACTCCGATCCGTTTCTTGAGGGCAAGACAACCGTGAAGGGAGAAATATTGGACTCGGGCATGCCGGGACCGAATGAACCCAGTAGAAATCGTGGAAGTGGGCTCGAAGGGAGCGAGATACTGGCTTCCATTCCGCCAGGGAAGCGTCTGGAGATGGGACAAATCGCGACAGAGTACATCACCGAATTCATCGCTCAGATGGATCGTGCACAGTTGTATGAGGTGCTAGCACACATGAAGGTGCGCCCGCCTTGCTCCGCCTGCAGGCTCTGCCGTCTGAACATCCATCCCCAGGCATTCTCCATCACGCACCCCAAACACGCTCAGCAGTTTCTCTCGCACCACCCTCAAGTCACGTATGCCATATTCATGGGTCTGATCACGACCAAAATACTGCCGGAAGAAGTCTTACAGCGCATGATCGCTGCCAACGGCCCGAACCGAAGTACGGGCCCAGCAGGGCCCCCGCATCCGCAAATGCCGCCGCAAGGCTACAACCAGCAGCGCCCGCCCTCCGGATTCCCAATGGCACAACCCCCGATGCAACAACCCCAGCCTGTGCACGGCAACATGATGCCCCCAGGCGCGGCGATGTACCCCCCTCCGATGCACATGGTACCCCCCACGGGAATGCCGCCCGGCGCTGCCGCTGCTGCTGGTGCCCCGCCGTACTTCAGGCCACCGCCTGCGGCACAGCCTCCCCCAATGCAGCCGCCGGCGCCGGCAAACGGTGTGCTCGACCAGCTGCAAAACTCCGGAGCCGGATTTGATACCCAGGTTTGTGGGTCCACGCATCCGAGCAGATATGACGCTGACTACTGCTAACCGTAGATGTTGATGCAGATCATAAGCAATTTGACTCCAGCGCAGATTAGGGACTTGCCTGAAAGTGAGCGGGCGACGTTCGAGTCGCTTGTGAGTTGTCTCCTGATGTTCATTGTGCAATATGGTCATGCTTTCTCCCCAGAGCGCAATGCTGAATGCAGGGGGTGTGCCCAGGACTTGATTTGACTGACTACCATCTATCTACCTACGCATGTTTCAAACAGATATCTGTGATTGCAATGTCTCGGATCTGCACAAAAGCGTATATAGTAAGTAATACAGGAGACGAAAGGCGACATTTTTTACCTACATACAAAAACAGGAATCAAGAAAGCAACAAAATCGGTGCGTGTGTATGTAGAATGCGGTCGATACGATAGAAATAAAGGCGAGCGAGTATGCGTTGTAGTATTGGTTGGCGGAAAGCGTCCATGACCGCCCATTTTGTGCATGAGAAACTTGCAACCCCGTATATAGCTGAGCGGAAAATGGAGAATGGCATTCCCCCTAGTATCCATATCCTCCCCTGCCAGAGCCTACCGCACTGACAGCCTTGCCCACGGGCACATTGACCGCAACCGGGCGGTCGGTCCGTTCGACTGAGGGCCAGCTGCTGCTGCGCCGACCAATGCGCTCAGCCGAGAAATCTCCTCTCGAGACGCAACCAGTTGCAAGGTCAGGCGGTCGTTTTCGTTCTGCAAAAACTCGACTTTAGTCTGGAGCGAGGCCAGCCACGCTTTTTTGCGCTGGCGACACTTGAGCGCAGCTGCCGAGACGTTAACATACGGAATGACAGGAATGGTAACCATCGCCGTACCTTGTCGGTTTCGTTCCAGAAAGTTTTTGCGCTTCTCCTCTTCAGTCTCGGGTTTCTTCCCCCGTGACCGCGAACTCGTCAAAGCCGGCACATATTCGGGGCCTTTGTCGCTGTCCTCGTCATCGTCGTCGTCATCGTCGTCCATATCCATGTCATCAAAGTCGTGCTTGGCCCGGTTAGACGACACGCTGCTCGTGGTATTGCCTCGCGCACGCTTGCGCGGCCCGGGGGCCGTAGGCGGTGGTGCGACGATGACATTGAGTGGTTCTATCGGCGTCGTCTTCCTCTTCGTTCCACGCTTGTTCGTTGGGGGTGCAGCGACAGCGACGGGCCTGTCCATGGCGCCGCCGTTCACAGCAGCCCCGCTGATCGTCCCGTTCCCGTTGGTGTGCCGCGCGGCCTCCTCCCGCTTCGTGAGCTCCTGATGAGCCTGGGAGAGCAGGAACAGCCCGTTGGCGGCGTTACTCGTCGCAGCGTTCGTGTTGGTGGCGAACTCAGCGCCATCCATATTGGGGTAGTTGCCTGCGTTCAGCACACCCGTTATCGCATTGATGGTGTTGGGCGTCATCGCAGCCATGAAGGCAGCTGTGCCTGGAGAGGCTGGGAACGCAGTGGGGCCGCCAACGATGGGGGTGAGTCCCGTGCCTGGAGTTAGGCCCGTGCGTGGAGTGAGTCCCGTGCGCGGTGTTAGACCTGTGCGAAAGGAGGCATCAAATGGAAGGTGCGACGAGGATTGCTGGTCCCCGCCGTTCTGGGGCCCTGCAAGCATCGCAGGGGACAGAGGGCCGCTGCGTAGGGAGTTGGAGAGCGAGGGGAAGGACCAGGAGAATGAGTTCTGGTCGGCAGGGGATGCCAGAGCAGCAAGAGGCGGGAGAGTCGGGCGCGGAGATTTGCTTCTTCGGACATCGGGCGCAGGGGCGGCGCGTTTGTCGGATTCCTCCTTGGTGGGCGGGGTGGTGGTGCGCAGATTAGAGTTGGGGGCCGAAAAAGACTGCTCGAAGGGATTGGGCTCGAGGTCGAAGTCAGAGCGGGTCTGTCGGCCAGTCGGACGAATCTTAGCAGAGTCTGCGGATGAGTCTGGGGAATCCATGACGCAGGGCGAAACTTGTGTTTTGGCAGGGGGCAAGGATGATATCACCGTCCGCACTCTAGGTCTGACGTAGTTCCCTTAAAAAGGGGTTACCTAATCATGCCCACGCCGAGACGGTCACGCAGGTGACCTCGTGACACTCCACGAGTTCTCACAAGTTCCGATCCAGCCGCTAATGGGGTCTCTGCATTCATGCCCCGTCACACGGAGGCGATACACAGTGCATACATGGCCGATCCCCCTCATCCCTGCGCATCCACTCCTCGGAAAACTCGGGGGAAACAGCTCCCAACCAGCTCGCAAATGAAGCCGTCATCTGGGCCACGAATGGCAACAGATTTCCCACAGCTGTCACGAGCTTTTTTTTCCCACTCCACATCCACCTTATCAGCCGCTGTCTGCGTGCAATCCTTAGTCTCCCCTTTCATGGATTCCGGTTTCCGAAGTGCAAACGGTCGTTGTCGCCTCCGGCTCGAGCCGCTTTGCACTGGTGGCGTTGAAAAGAGGCTTTCCTCTGGCTGAAATCAGACCCGATGACGTGGCGCGCGAACAATCGATGCGTGCAACGTAGTGTTGTTTGTTACAATCAAGATTCCAGATGCTCTCCCACACACATAAGTATGCCGAAGTTCAGCCTTATGATACAGTTTTTGTGTACATGCTATCAGAAAGCACCAGCTCGCTTGGTCCAGGCGGTCAACGGCTGGTTGACCACGGGCTCCATGCTGGACTGGGCCCGGGCAGTGATCTGCAGCTCCAGCGAATCGAGGTGGCCTCCTTGAGCCTCCAGCGCCCAGATCGAGACGGCCAGTGTATTCTCTCCGTTGTAGTTCAGGATGCCTTGAGGCACAGGGAACGTCGTTTGCGGCCCAAGGTTGCTGACTGTACGATGTTCATAAACATGGATCCCGGCAGACGAGCAAGTGCACACTCACTGTATCTGCCAAACTGATACCCATTGACATAGAACTGAGCGCGGATCGTCGATTTGGCACTCGCCACAATGGCTATCGGGTAGTCCACGCCCGCAGAAACGTGTAGATCGAAGGTGGCGCGGTAGAAAGCAACACCGGGGTGCCCCACTGCAGCAGTCGGCTTCTGGTTCTGCCATTTCGAGGCATCGAATCCAGGCAGATGCCATCCCTGACGCTCACCAAACAATCCTCCCTCGTTAAGCGGACCTCGCGTCTTGTCGACGTAGCTCTCGCCTCCCAGATTGCCAGTGACTTTCCACGTGACTGCCGTGCTGTTGCTGCCCAAAAACGAGTACCGCAAGATCCCCCGCGGAGACTTGAATCCATCAGCAGCAGCTTCCCAGTTTTCATCATACCCCATCGTGTCTTGCAGGATGGTCAGCACGTGTTGGGAGCCTTGCTTCAGACTTGCAGGGAACGCGAACGTCCCATTAAAGTCTCCATGAGCGCCATCCCTACGAGGTGTCAGCACGCGTAATCACACCCATCAGGATGTATGTGCACACACCGATCCAAGACCCAATGAACGTCGAGTCGAGCCAAACGCCGTAAGCAAACGCCGATCCGCCTTGCACATCGGCGGCAAACCCGGTCTCCTGCCCGGTCGCAGAGAAATGCGCGCGCCACAGCAGATTCCCGGTGTGATATCCGTAGTCGCCTGCGTAGAGAACAACCGGGGTGGTCGGCACCGTCGGATTGACGGTCGTGGTGTGGTCAGCTGCCGTCCAGAGCGCATCAGAATAGGACGATTGAATTTCTGGCAATGAATCGGCGGTTTTCTATCAATCATCTCCCTCAGCAAGTATTGTGCGGCGCATACGTGACGACACCCACCCAATTCAGAGACGACAAGTTCGGCAGAGAGACGGACGGCAGATTTACTCTCAAGCTGGCTGTCAACGTCCCATAGGATGTCGTGCTCAGGCTCAACTTGGCGCCGTTGAAGGTCGCCGAGTGATATGCTGCGGGAGCAATGATCTCGAATGACGTCGTTGTTGTGTTCAGATCGCCCTTGATGGCGAGCGTCGAGCCCGAGGTCGTCAGCGAACGCAGCAGATAGCCTCCCTTGACGATGATGGGGTTCTCGGTGCTGTACGCCGCAAAGTCTCCGCTCGTGGGGGGATGGAGGACCCAGAATTCGTAGGCGTTGACACGATCTATGGAAATTGGTCAGGATACTCGTGTCAAGGATTCCGTTCCGTTCCATGCTGACCAACGATATACACCAGGGTGTTCCCGATCTCAAGCACGGTTTGGCCGGTTGTTGTGTATTGAACGGTCAACAGGTCAGATGCAGCCTTGGTCTTGATCTTGCCTGATCCTGAAACAACGGCCACCTTACCGGCGGTGGTTTTGAATGCCGTTTCGTGTAGTTCACCGGCATTGCCGTAGAGAATGATCACGTCTCGGTTGTCAATAGTAGCCCTTGGATGAAATAAGCGGCATTCTCACAACGAGATGAGCCGGGCTTTACCAAGTCAGGACTTCGCCTGTGGAGTAGACGAGGGTCGTCGAGCCAGCAAGGTAGTCAACGACCGCGATCTTCGAGTCTTTTCCGTGAAGCTGCAGACTGCCGCCCAGCGCAGGGATCGTGATGTTTCCGACACTTGTCGGCAGCGTCAATGTATACGTTTGCACATCGTGAACCGACGCATCAGTTTGCCTGTCCGGCCTCAGCAGACCGAACTCGGTGACCATACAAGCTGCTCACCTGACCACGTAGAATCCCGTCTTGTTTCCCACCACATCGAGCACTTGGGTCGTCTTCAGAGCTTGGTTTCCGGTGAAGCTGCCCTGGCTCGCCCCGATGTTCATCGGCCGGGTTGTCAGGAAAGCGGGGGAGGCAGCTCGGAAGTAGGCCTGCAGCTTGAGCTCGTATGCTTTCTCGCGCAGAGTGCGGTCTTCGGCGATCGCCGACCCCTGTTCAGATTAGATCATACCAGGCGACCGAAGGTCGAAACTCACATAATCGTAAGAGGTGTAGACACCGGGATAAGCAATCCCTCCCCAGTTAGTGCCGCCGTAAACCATATACAGATTGAGCATCGTGGTGGACATGGCGAACTGATTCTTGTAGAACACTGCAGGATGTCAGATTACCCCGCAAAGCGTGGTGCAACTGGCACGTACCGCGCTCGAATTCAGGCCCCGTCAGCTGCGAGCAGAGATCGTAGCCAGCGCCACCCCATCCGTCGAGAGCTCCGCCCTGGAACTCGAAAACCGCATTCGGCGATTGGGGGCTAATTTGCATATGCGCACCCCAGAACCATCTACCGCGGGGTCAACACGAGTCAGGGAAGACACCAAAAGAACGCACTCTGGAACGGCATCAGCCAGCCAGTTGTCCGGGACGGTGCAGTTGAAGCCATTCGGGTACGAATCGTATCCGTAGATGTCCACATTCGTATAATGTCCGCCGGCCCAGGCGTCGTTGACCGTCAGCGGGACGGTAATTCCGGCCGACCGCAGGGTCTCCTTCAGATCGCTCTCGTACGTAAAGTCTTCCGTGTACGGAGGCTGGAAGCCGCTGTATTCGTTCTCCGTTTGCACCAGGATGACCGGTCCGCCGTGCGTGATCTGGTTCAGCGCAATCTTCTCCCCGACGGCTGTCATGTCTGCAGCCAGTTGAGGTCATGGCACGTCGCATGGACTGAAGCAGACACGTACATCCCTGGTACGCCTCGACGTACGACGCATTCTCCGTCCTCCACAATCCCGCCGTGTGCGTCCCCCATCCCGGGAATCCGCCGCCAGTCGTTTCCGCGTTGATGTACGGCCTGTGCGATCAACCACGTGTGAGCGAAGCAGCAGTGTGGCGAGAATCCCTCAGCAGCAGCACGCACCCGGGCCGGGCGATGATCCACAGTCCAGCCGCCTTGGCAGCGTCGAAGAACGGCTGCAGGTCGCGAAACCCGTCGAACTCGAGCTGGCCGCGCTTGGGCTCGTACATACCCCAGAAGAAGTACGTCGAGACGGCATTGAACCCCAGCGCCCTGTCGTGCCGTCAGCTGAGGATCCTCTGTGGATGGGGTGCCGGGAACGCACTTGATCTTTTGGAAGATGTCCAAGTGCAGGCTCTGCACTGGCATCCTGCAATCGCGACGCATCTCAGCACTAGGAGACACGAGCCACACAGTACAAGCCATACCGATAGTGATGCACCTCTCCGCCGAACAGGTTCACCCGCGTCCCGTTGATGAACAGCGAATACTCGTCCCAGGTCACCTGCGCGACGCCATCAACACTAACGCTGCGGGACTCGAGTGCGGCCGCATATACGCACCAAATTCTGCAGACCGTCATTCACGCGCGGCAGCTGCACCCGCCGGCTGGCCGGCGCACGGCGAGCGTCCACCACACCGAGAGCCGAAACGAGCAAGACGCCAAGCTGTGAGAGCAACATGGGGGCGGCCTCACTCGCTCGGAACCCCGTCCGCTGTTATTTATGTCAACTCCCCAGTGCCGCATCGTCGGGCGGGATATCCTCGGCTTGCCACCTGACTGGGATCTTCATCTGCAGACCCGGAGCCGGCGCGTCCACGATGTCACGAGATCGCACATGCGGAGGCAGTAGAGTGTACGTATCGCTGGGCACGTCAAGGGCAGTCGGTGGAGAAAGAAGCTGTCGAATGATTCTGCGCCAGGCGTCACGTTCATCCGCAGAAAAGTTCAATCGCATCTGATTCTCAGAGGTGATGAAGGTGGGAAGAAGAGGAAAAGTGACAGTGAGAAAGTTGGCGCAGAGCTGGAAACCATAAATCTCATGTAGAAATCTCTCATATGTAGGACAGTAAAGCGTATCGATGTGCGGTAGTACAACCAAATCTGCTTGCCGACACAACGTCAAGTTGCGCAGAACAGTGCATGTGGGTAATTACAAAGTCAAGACATGGACAAAAGGGTACAAAAGCGGAAAGGCGGTCGAAGTTGCTTTGCAAGATATCAGCCTCGAACAACAAACATGACGCAGACGCTAAACGCACGATTATAAAAATACAGCATCATCATCACCCCTTCTCAGGCTAGCAGTCTTTGCCTCGAATTCCATCCTGGACTTCAGCCGATCCAACTGACTTTGCTTGGAAACATAGCCTCGCTTCACCGTTCCTGCCGGTGAGCCCGAGGGCCGTGCATCCTGCAAGGCTGGGCTGGTGTTCGGAGAAGTCAGACCCCATGACGGGATGTAGTTCGTGAACGTGGACAACGAAAGACGGCCTCCGAGAGGTGATGATAACATGGACGAAAGAGAAGGAGACACTGGCAAGGGACTGCAAAACTCAGGCATCATCTCCGAACTGGGGCTGGGTCTAGATGGCAGGTTGTCGGCTGCAAAAGCAGGCAAAATTAGTGAGACGTACGGTAACGAAGCCGGGGAATCGCCGAACCGTTTGCAGGGCCTGTTTGATGCATTCGCAGTGTCGGCTGCCGGGAAGGCTGCCGGATGAACGTAGTAGTAGAGGCGTTGGCTGAAAAAGTCGGAGAAGGCGAACTCGGTAGAGGAATGAAGGAGGGTGTCGTTCCGCCACGCTTCGTCGGCGGTGTCACAAAGGCACTGTCGTTTTCGTGAACGACGCGAGATGGCGAGAAGAGGCTGGGCTTGGGCCTTGGAATCGAAGAGGGAAGCGAGGGACGAGACTCGGAGCGTTCCGGAGTCATCGGCTGAGAGCGACCGAAGTTGAACGGAGCTTCATCCTCACAGTCATCTTCATCTTCGAAAAATCGGAGCGACGGGACTGTGACGAGCTTTGGTGGCGGTAGGACTGGCTCGGTAAGTGCTGGTTCGAGGTGTTTGTCCTCCATGGGAGGTGTGAATGTGATCTTGATACCACCATTGACTTCTCCGTCCTCGACAACAGTCTCCTCTTCAGTCTCGGATTCGTCATCCTCTCTTAATTCCTCTTCCTCTTCTTCAACAACATCCAGAACATAGCGGCTGTCGACCGTGGCGAGTACACTAGCTGGCAACACAAAGCAGGAGTTGCTATCGTCGCAGGAGAAGCCCTTGGCGAAGAACGACTTGCTCTTCTCCTCGTCATAGTCGAAATATTCACCCGTGAGTGGTGAAGCCGGGAGTCCAGGTCTTCAAGACATCCGAAGAAACGATCGATGTCAGGTTCGTCGCGGCTGATGGGAACCACATGTTTGGGGAACGTCCACTTCGAAATAGACTTCTGTGCGCTGTGGGCCGGAGCTGGAACGGGAGCGGAAGGAGGAGAAACGACAGGCGCCGAAGCGGCCGAGCCACGGAAATCATCAACGGACCCGAAGGATGACGAGGGACTGATGAGGACGTCGTTCTCATCCTCGTCTTCATATCCGGCGAGCTCGTCGCTCTCCTCATCGGAGGCTTCTTCCTCCTGATCGACCCGAAGTTTGAACCCGAGCCCAAGTGTAGAAGGAGCATCTTCACCGGCCGAAGAAGCAAATCCAAGGCCACGATGCATAGAAGAGGGCGCGGGTCGGACGTGTACAACAGGGCCGTCAAAAGCGCGTGGCGTGTCCAATGGATCAAGCTCGCGAGGAACGCGACTCCTGACTTGCTGTAGCTCAGCTGAAACCGCCTCCTTTTCGCGCAGAAGGCGGGCGATCTGTTCCTGAAGGGTTTGCTCGGACTTGGCCAAGCGCGTGTTTTCCGTCTGGAGATCTACGACAACTTTCTCCAGACCGCTGCGCTCGACTTCAAGCAATCCAACACGAGTGCGAGCGACCCAAGCGTCTCGTCGTTCAGCCTCGACTCGGTTCCCCATCACAGTCAATTGTTTCTCCATGTCGCCGACTCGAACACGCCAGCCTTCAACATCACGCTTCAATTCATCCCTTTCTGCCTTGAGGTCGGACACGAGGCAAAGCATTTCGTCTATCGGTTCCCCTGTCTCGCTGGAGCGGGAAGAGGTACTGGAAAGAGCAGAGGCAGAAGAAGCAATCGAAGAAGGACGCGAATTGTGTTGCCACGAAAGGACAAAGCCCGTTCCAGATCGGTGATGCGAGCGAGCAGGGCGTTGTGACTTTTGAACAGAAAGTGCTGCTCGCTCACGCTCAAAGGCCGTCCATTGCCAGAGTTCATGGTCAAGAAGTCGTCCTCGGCAACGCTAAGACGGTTGCTGGCCATGCTGCCCTGACTACCCTGGCTGCTGCGGCTGGAGATGGAACTGTGGGTATATCCAGAGAAACGGCGCTCTGTACACGTTGGTGTCGATTCAGGGGTCGGAAGGCCGGTGCTGGAGACCGACGAAGACGTGGAAGACGTCTTGTATGATATACTGCTCTTCCGGACTGGTTGCTGACGTATCGACATGGAAGTGTCATCGTGCGACGGCGATGCCGCCTCAAGTTTGATGTTGAGTACGGGCCTCGGACGAGCGGGGGTCGGAGATGGCACAGATCCTGCACGGTTTGAAGCATCCGGAGCAAGGGAAAGGGCCTTCAAGCTCGCTCGCTTAGGAGAGGATGGCGTTGGGAGGGCCTGTGATGCAAGGAATTGTGATGGTAGAGCGTCTGGGGTGAGAGACAATGGCCTGAGGTGCGGCGCACGAGAGCGTTGACCAAGGTTGCGGGTGAAGCTAGTCGTAGGTGTGGTCGGTGTCGGTGGTGCGCGAGGCTTATCGGAATCCTCCTCTTCCTCTTCCTCCTCCATCAAAGTACCTAATGCGTCCTTGGAAGAGGAAGGCTTGAAGGAGTCACGCTTGGAAGAAGTAGTGAAGGTCCCTGGACCTGGGGGGAAGGAAGGTTTGGTGGCTGGGTAAACAGTATGAGCAACCGAGTCGCAAGCGAAAATGGGATGCCTACGGAATTCATATGGGGCAGAAAGCTCTGGGATTTCTACTTTGGCAAAGGAAGCATCACGCTTCCCCTCAAGAGCCCAGAGAGCATTGCGGCGGATAGAATCTCGCTCTGCTGAGTCCTCGCTCGCGGAGGCCGAAGTCTCGGGAACGGTTACTCCCATCATCTCGGCTGATTCGCGTCGAGTGGAGACAGACGAGATACGCCGGTGTTGCGAGTTTCGTTTAGGTGCAGGAGGAAGGGAATGCGTCGCGGAGACATCGTGAGTGGTCATAGATTTAGGAGTGGGCAAAGATGCAATAGAAGAAATTGAGGCGTTGCGCGAATGCGATCGGTTGTGCCGATGCTTCATCTCGACGGGGGAGGCATTGTGGCTCATACCCATCTTGAAAGACTCGAACTGGAGATGGATAAGATCAGCAGAGAAAGAGGTGAGACACTGCCGTGAACTCACTCGCTGTCGGGCTACCTGTTCGACCTGCATGGTGGTGGTGGGAGTGAAAAGAACGAATGGATATCCTGGCTAGGACGGTGGGTTTTTCAAAAGAAGGACAGTGCCGTGGACCAGGCACTAGCAGGCAGATTGAGAGAGTCGTCGGTGACGGTGGTTCAAAAGGACGAACTCCTGGGTCACACGTGACAGGTTTGCACACAGAAACAAACTTTCACGTTCTCCCCGTCCTTACGGTTCATTCGGAACTCCAGATCACTCATGTGCCGATTCATGTCGCAATCATGATAGAAGGACGCCTCACTGGCAGCCTATGCTCTTCGATCCCTGAGAAACCGCGACATGCTGGCATCCAATTTGAGCACCGTGCCTGTTGGCCTCATAATAAACAACAGCAGGCAGGAGTGCAGTATCAGATAACATCGACAGGATCGTGTACGTCGTTGAGGCCTCAGGGACAAAGAAATGCATGCATTTGGAAATTCCTCTTCGCTTGGTGATCGACCAGCCTGAGCAAACAAGCGAGATCGCCCTCCTCTCGACCATTATGACCTCCGAGCTCCCAGACGAGCAGCCCGTTCCAGGACCTGCAGTGGTATGTCGCAGCCTCGCAGCATCGTGATATGGCATATCGATCAGTGCAGTGCCGATTGGACGGACCCATGGCTTTGCCGCGGATTGTGTTCGGCGGGGGCGCACTTTCGCCCCAGTACGCCAGCGATGATCTTCTCTCCGGTGATATTCCGCTCCGAACGGTGCAGCTCGCACTTCGGTGAGTTATACATGTCGTTTCGTGGGTGCATTTCCGAGAAATTTTCTCCAGATACGGCATCAACGCGTTCGACACGTCTGCATATTACGGTCCATCCGAGATCATCTTGGGCAACGCATTGCATGCGCTTCGCGATGAGTTTCCTCGGTCTTCCTATCAGCTGGTGCGCCGCGTGGTCCCCATTTTCATTTGGTATTCACGTGTCAGATGACGAAATGTGGACGATATGGACCATCTGACTTTGATTATACTCCCGGCACGGTTCGTCAAAGCGTGAAACGAAGCCTCGAACGACTGCGCACGGATTACCTGGATGTCGTGCATCTCCATGATGTCGAGTTTGTGTGCACGGAGATTACTCCGAGACGGACTGGCGATCACACATCCGCCCTGACCACTGAAAGCGCCGATTACGGTCTGGCTGCGGGAGATGAGAGCATAATCAGAGGGGAAGGTGATCAAAAGGTTCTAGATGCCTTCGCTGAGTTGTACAAGATGAAACAGGAGGGTTTGATCAAACGCATCGGGATTACTGGTGAGACGATTGGTGTTTTCTGGCGTTTTATCTCAAAGCTTCATAGGCTATCCATTGTACACGCTGCTTCGACTGGCTCTACTCATTCTGCACAACCCGCCCTACAAAGCGGTCGACGTGATGCTCTCGTACTCCAACTTGACGCTACAGAACAGCACCTTCCTCCAATACTCGTCCCATCTTCTGGGCCGTGCCCAAGTCGGACAATTGCTTGTCGCTTCACCCTTCAGCATGGGTCTACTCACGGATACCGGACCGCCTAGCTGGCACCCGGCTTCTACCGAGCTCCGTTCTGCAGCGCGCCAGACTGCGACCCTAGCAAGAGCAGGTGGAAGGTCATTAGCCGACCTTGCGACCGGGTTCTGCATACGAAATACTGGAGGCTCGATCCCGCTTGCGGTGGGTCTGAATAAACCGGAAGAAGTGCACGAGTGTGTCAAGGTTTGGCGATCCGTCGAGTTGGAAAAAGAGGACGATGAGGCAAGGTCACAACAAGAAGAAGCCGTCCGGGCCGTTTTCAAGGACAGCGGTGTCTTGGACTGGTCTTGGTCTTCACCATAGCACGTAGCGATCTGTGATGAAACCTGTGCGTAAGAAATCGAAATTAGATGTATCAGCTATGCAACCACGTCGGGAAGATCCGTGAGCCGGAAATACCGGTTGGAGGCTGTCGGGCTGCGGCGGCATTCCTCGCTGCTTGTCGTTGATCTCCCGAAGCCCTGCGTCATGGCAGATGGGTCAAAATGCGATATCGATCCTACAGCAGTCCGATCCATATGGTGATGATTACAAGATACGTTACTTCCACATATTATTTACAGAGGTCAAGGCGAGAAAGGGAAAAGGATTTCGGGGAGTTCACAGCTGATCTCGTTTCCAGCTGAGGAACGTCAGTTGACTAGTTTCGTGCCACGTCTCCTCGACGCGCCTTTTCTCAAATTTGTGGTTCACCTGAACCATCTTGACACCCTCGTCTGGCTTTATAGAGTTCCAGGGCTCGTTCTTGGTCCATTGGACTGAGATGGAGGGATAGGCAAGTCGATCGGATAAGCAAAGAGTCCACGTACTGCTTGGACCCATTGCTGAGCGGTAGGCGAAGAATGAGGCGAAAGACACGATTCCTCCGACGAGCATCACGCTACGTGAGAGTCAGTCCATATTGCCTCAGAATCGAAGCAAGGAACGAACATGGGGAGGGCCTGTGTGTGTCACATCAGCGCCCAGCACCTACGGAAGAAGCCTAAACATACCTCGACAGCGAGCCAGGGCTTGATGTTCGACCTGAGAGTGGTAGGCATGTTGTTTGGAGAGGCTGATAGAACTTGCGGTGTGTGAATGTCGAGACAGAGGGCTTGTGCTCATTTATAGAGGCGGGAGACAGCGCCACCAGGCGGGACAGACCGGAGCACAGAGACTGTCCAGATCATGTTCTGGAATTGAAAGTAATTGAAAGGACGGTCGACTCCAGGCTAGACGAGGTGGGCATGTCCTCCTCGCACCCAATTGACAGGTCTGGACCATCCACTGGCAGATCGTTCGCGGCCGTCCAGAGACCCTCGCGTGATGGGACGAGATTATTGAAGCAGAACACTGGACTAACCGCCACAGCACACAGCACGGCGATTGTCGTTGGTCAACGTGTACTAGATTCAGAAGCCTTCGCAGATGAAAGTAGCGTTAGGCGAGAAGCCCGTCATCACGAGGTTAGCCGAGACACGCCGACGCCTTCGCACGTAAATGTGGGACGGCGTCCAGTGAGGGCGCGTCCGCTGGTCTCTTCTGGTGTTTTGTGTTCCGCGTGGGCTCAGGTCATGTTGCTTAGCGCTATAGCAAGTCGCGGACCAACATCGGACCTTGAAGATGACGACGATCCGTGCGGGGTCGCCGGATTTGGCTATGCCGAGCTTGGCCTGACGTAATTAACTTGCGCGATCGATTGCCCCTCTCGAGCTTTCACCCCCGTTGACCATGCCAGCAATTGCCAGAACGAGCGCACTCTCAGCGAAGGATCCTCAGCCAGTCCTCGATGATATAAACGAACAATTCCAACTTGGCCCCGATACCCTGGTCGAGCTGACGGAAGCTTTTCTCCATGAATTTAAGCTCGGGCTCGGCCAGTACAACGAACCTATGGCTATGATGTGTGCCCTTCCGCGTATTCCCTGACGCACGTATACTTAACCTGGATACAGCCCGACGTTCGTGACTGGAGTGCCTGACGGCTCGGAAACTGGGTGTGTCCTCTCGTGCATGGGTGGGTTGCATGCTCAAAGCTACCAGAACTTTTCTGGCATTGGACCTCGGCGGTACAAATCTGCAAGTGTCTTAGAACCCTTCCGTATCTCCTCTTACCTTGCTCTAGGCGCGTTTGCGAAGTGACTCTACACGGGGACACCACCTTCACGCTGAGACAGCAGAAATACAAGGTTTCCGACGCCCTCAAGACGGGGGAGGCCAGCACTCTCTTCGGTCCGTTATCCACATTGCATGCACACTTTCCGAACGCATTCTGATTGATGCGCTTGGCATGAACAGATTATCTGGCCGATTCGGTCGACGCATTCCTGACATCTCATCCTCCCAGCGATCACGATCAACAGCATAACTACGGTTTCGGTTTCGCAGAACCTACACCAGACGTGGTTCACCTCGGCTTGACGTTCTCGTTCCCAGTAGAGCAGACTGCATTGGATTCCGGCAAGATCCTCACCTGGACTAAAGGCTTCTCGGCGAAGCATGCTATCGGGAACGATGTCGTCAAGCTTCTGCAGGATGCCTTCGACCGGAAGCACATGCACGTCAAGTGTGTTGCGCTGGTTAACGATGTACGTGCTCACTTCCCCTCGAGGGCATGGCTGACCGGCACAGACGGTCGGCGCATTGCTTTCGAGAGCATACACCGCCGGAGGATGCATACTAGGTGCCATTTTTGGTACCGGTACGAACGGTGCCTATGTGGAGGAAGTCGGTGAGAGCATTCATTCGTTCTAGTGCCTCGGCCGTTGCCGTTCTGACCCGCTGTGCCAAGCGAACATCAAGAAATTGGCCAACGAACCTGCCGCTTCAAACGGAGGATTGATGGTGGTGAACACTGAATGGGGCGCTTTCAACAACACGGTATGCCCGTTCTCATTCCACGTGGACGCGATTTACACGCGCCCCAGCGTTCACACCTTCCTTCGACACCGTACGATAACGTATTGGATCGGACGAGCATAAATCCCCGGTTCCAGGCGTTCGAGAAGATGATCTCCGGGATGTACTTGGGCGAGATCACCCGGCATGTGCTTCTTTCGCTGGTGGACGCGTCTCCCAAGTCGTTACTTTTCAACGGCAAAGCAACCTCGTCGATGAATGCGCAGTGGGGCTTTGACACCAGTGTTATGAGCGGCGTCGCCGAAGCCTGGGAAGGCAAGGATTCCTCGCCACAGTCTCGCGAGAATCCTGTCCCCAAGCTTTCCGACTACGAGAAACCGGAGAGTCTTGACCCCACTATCAAGGCAAGGCTAGAGCGAGTGCAGGCAGTTCTAGTGAAAGAACTGGGCTACAAAAACGGCGAGGTGTCATTGCGAGATGCTGCGGTGCGTCCTGACGAGGTCCAGGCCAAATTTGCGAGGTCTGATGCGTTGTAGATCGTCCGATGGGCATGCTCTGTGGTAGCAAGACGAGCAGCTTTATTGAGCGGGTCGCAGTTGCGACCGTCATGATTCAGACCGGACGAGCTGTGCTGCCCGGTCAGGATGGCAAACCCACGAAAGTGGGTGAGCCCAAAATCGGGGTTGGTGTCGACGGAAGGTATGTGCCATTTGGTTTTTTAAGATCCATCTGCCTGATGCTGGTTCAGTTTGATCCAGTTCTATCCTCATTTCGAAGTCATTCTGCGTGAATCACTCAGAACGCTCGTGGGGAAAGATGTCGAAAGCCGTGTCGAGATCGGATTGGCGAAGGACGGAAGCGGTGTGGGCGGTATGTGGCCTGTTCAGTGTTGTCTTCCGTGATCTCATCTGTGTTCCAGCGGCTCTTTGCGCTTTACAGGCGATCAAGCAGTTGTAAATCCAATGATATATCGTTGTAATCAAGTAGACCAAAATGTAGAAGTTCTGTAAAGCCAATGGCTTGAGGCAGCCACTTGTGGAATGATGCATTTGCCAGGCAGCACCATTCAATTCAATTAGTCTGTGGTATTCATACAAATCTATGATTCAAATGAGTGGGGGGAGGGTGAGCTCGAGTTTCACTTCATGCAGTCGTTGCCCGGATCTTCTCGTATGCCTCACCCACGCGCTCCCAGTTCAGCACAGACCAAAACTCCCGCAGCCATTCCTCCTTGCCCCAGACGCCGTATCCAGCGGAAAGCCACGCGTGCTCGTGCACAGAAACGCAAAAGAGCGGGTACAGCGTTTTGCCGGTGTGGATGGCATCCGTGGTAGTCAATGGTTTTGACCTGACAGAGTCCGCGTCGTGTATGCCCGCTGGCTGTGCGTTTGCCGCACTGAATGCTGACAGCCGACGCGCACTCGTATGCATGAACATCCTCTGCAAAGGCGTAGCACTGCCGAGACCAGAAGCCGGGCCCGAACTGGCCGAGCCTGTGTGAGTAGGTGGCGGCGCGGTCATGCCACTCGACAGAGGAGGGGGCTGGTTCAGGTACTTGTCCGTGTACTCGTGCGATGGGTCCCATTCGTCAGGGTTGGAGGAAAGCTCGGGGATGTGGGGATGGATGTTCGTTGCCATGTAGGTTCGAGAACGAACGAGCAAGGTCCCCGGACCCAACGTCGGAAGCACGGCTGTTCCACCATTTTGGTCCGACACGAACCATATCCATCCCGAGGTGGAAAGGCCCATAGCGGCGGCTGAGAAGGTAGATTTCAGCTGGTCCAGGCTGCCGTGATCGTTCTGAATTTGTTTTCTGAGCAGTTCACCCATGCGATTCTCGTCAGCGAGCTCAGGATTAGGTGTCTGGACGCGTTATTGAAGCCAGCGTTGAAACAAAGTAGAGCAGAGACTCACCAGCTGTCCCAGGAAAAAACTGTTGTTGAGAGCGAGACTTGCATAATTAAATGCAAGCGTCTTCTCTCGATATGGAGCTGTGCTCAGAATTACTTGCGTAACCGACTGGCCCTCTTCTTCAGTATCTGGGCACGAATTGTCAGTGACCTGCACGGACAGGGTTTTCAATACTGCTACGCACTGCGAACCTCCTCCGTCAAACGTTTCAAAAGTCCCAGCTGATAGTCCATAGCCACGGTCTCGAGCGCGGGCGGTGGTAGGAATTTCCCGAGTCCGTCCTTCATAGAATACGGTAGTGGTAGCGGAAGGTGGTCAAATTGGCCCATGACGCCTCGGGAGTACCGGGGCTTCAGCGCGCGTTTAGCGCATCGAAGTCGTGCTGAACATAGAAGGCTCATGTTCTATATGAACGTCCAGGGAGGTCGCACAGGTCCGAGATGCACGCGACGATTTTTTGAGAGACACTGCAGAAGCAGAGCGTGATGGAATTTGGTTTTGTTACGCTCTCCATCAATATTGCTCGATTTAGCACCCTCCACGTCGCTGAGGCCGACACTACTCAATACTTCCTCGACTATGCCTCCCAAAACTTCTTCTGCCGCCGCCTCGCCGGCATCTGCCTCTCCTTTGGTCACCCTGTTTAAAGCTTACAATGAGCAAACCTCGGACCGCCTGAAGTTCATCGACGCGTTCCTCGTGTTCCTCATGCTCTCGGGCATTGTGCAATTCGTCTACTGCTTCCTCATCACAACTTTCCCCTACAACGCTTTCTTATCTGGGTGCGTAGTAGGACGTCCGACGACGTCGGCGCGTTGCTCAAACTTGGCATTAGATTCTCGAGCACCGTCGGTCAATTCGTCTTGACCGCGTCCCTGCGGTCACAGGTCAACCCAGCAAACAAGAACGAGTTCAAGGAAGTCTCCCCGGAAAGGTGAGCTCTTTACTTAGTGCTTTACCCGTGTGACTGCGCTCAGCATCGCTTAGAGCATTCGCTGATTTCGCCCTCGGCTCAATCGTGCTGCATTTCTTCGTGTTTAACTTCCTTGGATAGATATTGTAATTGAGTAGACTGGAGTGAAAGTGGTACAGATATACGTGAGAGTGAGACGGAAGTGGGGAACCGCGCGATGCGACGTAGTGGCTCAGTGTTGCCTTTCGAAAGAAGAGGAGCGCTGCAAGTCGTGAGACCAAGACATAGTGGAAACTATCAAAGCCACTGACCCCGCAGATGACAACAGCGAAGTCGAAAGCGTACTCTCCTGCATGCAGTGGTCAAAGGATGACCGGATGCCGAGAAATAAAGACACGCACCGAATTCGAGGTACGATCGCAGCAGTTCTACAGAGTCGAGTTACCTGGGAAACAACGACGAAAGACGCGTAGACGCACGACGAATGTCCTTATTGGGGACTTGAGAGAGTTTGGGACTGGTTTGAATGGGTGAGTAAGAGCGCGTGCGTGCAGCGCAGTAAGACGCGCACGTTAATCCGGTATTCCGCTTCATCCCAGCGAGGAATATGCTGATGAGCATGGCGTCGATGCCGAGGTGAACTGCATAGAAGGCATCACGATCAATTGCCTCAAGTCCATTCCAGCGGGGACAAACCGAGCTTGCCGAACATCGTCGAAAAGGTAATAAGCAGAAAGCAGAGATCAGGATTTACACTCTTGTGCCGAAACCGATGGCAACACTGTGGCAGTCAGTGGCTGTGTCCGGCGGAACCAAACCCTGACGTAATCCGTGACCACGCTTTCTCCCCACAACAATACCGAACAGGCGCTTCAGCCAACTTGCTCCGGTCCACATTGTTCATTGTCTCTACGCGAGGGTCAATCATGTCAGGGAATTCCACCCCTCCCACCAATGGCAAGCTGCCTTTCAACGTGTCTTTCGACCGATTCAAACGCGACGAGTTGTCGGATTGGGCGGGCGCATTTACTTTGCTCGGTGCGTGGCTGCAGTGTGTATGGCGGTGGTGGCATACCTGACTCTTTTTGCGCTAGATACTATTGAGACCTACATCGACTCACACGCGGACCTCCTCCAACGGAAACTGCAGAAGCACAGCGATCGACTGAAAATGCGCGCCGAGGAGACGTTCAAGATGCGCGATCTGTCGGGAGACCTGCACTTTGACAAGGAGTTCAAGAGCTTCAAACTTAAGGTAAGAAATACCGCATTCACTTTAGCGAGTGAACGTGTTTACGAAGCGGAGCGCCAGGTCTCCAGTCGAATGACGAAATTGGCCACTTCCTGGCAGTCCGCTAAAGTCGTTCGCACCAGGGAGAAGGTTTCCTTCTTCTTTGGCGTCATGACACTGTTCAGCTCTGCCCTTTTGTTTGGTCTGGCACCACAGTGCGTGTCTCGCTCGGCAGATGTGTGGTCATTTTACTCATGCGCTCTGTTGCAGATGGGTCCACATTGTATACTCTGTACTGGGCGGCTATCTAATTCCTCTGCGCGCCTACACATACAAGAAACGCGCGTGGCACTATTTCTTGTTCGATCTATGCTACTATGTGACCATCCTCAACTTCGTGTATCTCTGGATCCTTCCGTCCAGCCCATCCCTCTTCGTTGCCTGTTACTGCCTTTCGCATGGGTCGTTGGCCAGTGCTATCTTGACCTGGCGGAATAGTCTGGTCTTCCACGACCAAGATAAAGTGACGTCGCTGTTCATCCATATCTATCCTCCCTTTACGTTTACTGTTATCCGGTTTGTTGATTGACTCCAGCTCCAGCTCTCATACTCATAATCTTTTAATTTCTAGTCACTTCTATCCCAATGCTGAGCTCAGGTTCCCTGCTCTCCAACAACTGCCTCACCTGAATCCGATTCGAGCCCTCTTGTTAAGCGGAGGAATCTGTAGGCCATTGTTTCATCTCCTTATGCACGCATTGACATTCACCAGATCTCAGCTGGCAACTGCTTTATTACAAGGTATGGTACAATGTCCTCTCATAAATCTCACTACTAAAAAGACTATTCAGTTCGTCTTGGTTGATCGACGAGAGAAGATCGAATCCGGGGAACGCACCACCTCCTTCTCGTTCCTGTTGAATGATAAACGAGGAGCCATCGGAAAGGCACTTTCTGCGATATCCCCTGCTTATCGCGAGGTCGCTTTCATGGCCGGACAGCTAGGTGAGCGGGCTAAAGTCTCTATATCAGGCTCATCACTGACATGCACTCCAGTCTATTCCATTCTGACGGAGGTCCCGCCTGTCTTTATCTTGTATGATAGCCCGTTTTGGAGCGGGGCGTTCCTTATCTTCATCCTGTCCGTGAGTGTATGGAATGGGGGAGGCTTCTATATCGAGGTTTTCGGTCGCAAGTACGTACCGTCTTCGATTTAACTGCCGATCGCTGACCTGACTGTCTGAAGATTCGAGCGTGAGCTTGAGGCGTTGCGGAAGGAGCTGGCCGAAGCCACTGCTGCACGATCCGGGCGTTCCAGTCCAACCAACACGCCTGGCTTAAGCCGCAGCGCCAGCGATGATGGCCTCTCTTCCGCTGAACAGTCGCCCAATGTGACGCCCAAGCTTCTTCCCGAAGACCCGCCGAATCTGCCTCTGAATGCGAAGAAATTTGATTAATCCGCGTAGCCGGACGGAACTCTTACGATCTCTTATGATGTAACGCCAATGTTAGAATGACCGATCTAGGCGCTGTAGATTTTTAGTTTATGTCCCTCCATATCTACGCCGTACTGTAGCTTCTATTACATTCTACTTCTGTGTGGAAAGACATCAGACGTGTCCGCGAATAAAGCAGTTCATTGTCATCAAATCCTCGTCTCCGTAAGTTTAGAGACGCTGATTGCATTCACATGTCTAGACTAGATTCCTTCCGCAAAAGCTCGGAGAATCTCTCTTCACTGGATCAAACAATATTCTAAATATAGTAAAATTATTACAGGGCATTCTGTACAGTATCAGGACACTCGCGCAAACATTCTATCAGTGGGTAATTACATCAGTTCTTGAGCACCATTCTCGGACTCCGCCTCGAAAGTCCACCCGTACTGCCTGTTTCCCGACAAGCTTCATCAGAGCCCGGTGGACTGGCTCTAGCCCACCCAGAACGTCGACCACTTCACAGCACAGCTCCCAGTCGATGGTGACGTGCAAGGGATCAGACTTCGCTGCCATCAGCTGTGATGCCAGAATGCAGGGTAGATTCTGGGTGAGATCAGCACACAAGATATGACGGCGGGAGTTGCTGCTCACAGAGAGACCATCCGCATGCAGCTCTAAATCGTCTTCGTCCTCGTCAAGTGGTTCCGGCCCAAGTAAATCAGCAATATATAGCTCCAGCTTGCTTGCCCTCGGCATCGCTCGCCGAATATCCAGCACATCCGAATTGAGCAGACTTTCCAGCCGAATCTTGCATCCGAATTCGGTCACGTTCTCGAACATCGTCGTGTTCTGCGCGAGCACCGCCGCGATCGTCTGCTGTGTGTGGAATGTGTCAAGCACAACTCGCGGGCACCGCGAACCGGCGAGAAAGATCGGAGCGTAGTCCGCTGGTCCAGTGTACGACCGGAGCGCCGCCAACGGAGGCAGCTGCCGGTCGGGCGTCGCGCAGCGACACGAGCGGTATTCGCCATCGACAACCAGCTCCTCGACGGCCGGGAACGCCGCGACGATGCTGTGCACGTCGTGCACGAACGGGCCACTGCATCCCTGCACTTCCAGCCTCCGAAGCGCAGCAAAGCGGCGGCAGAGCGCGGGATCGATGTTGGCGGTCGGGTGGCAGTCGAAGCTGGGGTATAGTGTGAGGGAAGCCAGGTGCGTCGCGTTGAGTGCGGCGAGGAACGAGTTTCCTGTCTCTCCGCACGGGGAGGATGAGCGGGGGAAGTTCGTGTACACGAAGCTCTTCGTGCGCAGCGATTCGTGCGCCGACGACCGGAGAATCCCTCCCTCGATCCACAGCTCGTCGAGCACCCGACCGACGGGCAGCGCATCCAGATCGAACTCCCACCCGAACGGAAGGCGCAGCGTGAGATTCCGCAGCCGGGGGAACTGATGCACTGCCTCGAGCAGCGGCCGGACGTACGCTTGCGCATGGGGCGAGTGCACGCCTGTCGGCTTGCCGAAGAGCGCACCCAGGAACTGGAACGAAATCACGAGCTCAAGAACGTGCGTGGCGATCGGGGGCGCGCTGAGCCGGCCGAGCCAGGCATCGATCCAGCCTGCGCCGTGCTGGTGTCCGGGGCCTGCGTAACATGGGCAGAGTGGGTCGAGCACGAGCCGGCGGTAACGCAGGCTGCGCGAGAGTTCGCGGAAGCGGAAGGATGTTTCGAAGACGTCTTTCAGTGCGGCAGGCGGGAGATGGGTGAAGATAGAGAACCAGAGCTCGTTTGGGAGGATGAGATGGTCGGTAGGGCAGCCACGTTCGAAGTGGGAGAGCATCTTGAGGATCAGGGTGGGAGGAATGAGCTGATGTCACATCGAGAATATAAGGCTGAGCTTCGACGGGATCCAAGCGTCAACGCTAGCCATCTGACTCGCCGCGCTATGGGCATCGCTTTGGACCTTGGTGACTGTCAGTTCCTCATGCTTGATGTCGGACAGCTCTTGTCCAGCATAATTTTGGGCCGTGGGTCCAGTACAATGACCCTGTTGTTCTTTTCGTCGCCATGCTTGCTTGCTTCTTGTTTGAGTGCAGACGGAGAACAAGAAGAGCTCTGATCATGGTAGACACGATCACGTGCGTTTGGACAGGTAGGGGAGATTTGGTAACTTGAAGATCGTCACGGGCAGCCAGGAGAAGTGTAACACATTGACTTGGGACAGAAGAGAAAATGACTTGCACAAGATAAGAGCGATGTCTAATTAGGCCGAGTGACCTCATGACATGCATGCGACCAAGAGCTCATCACGTGTTCACATCCCGCTATGAGAGTCTTCTCATCGCAAGCACTGCTCTGCATAGAATCCCAAACAAATATCGATACAAGCCTCGAACTGCTAATCGTACACGTACAATGTCCTCAACTCGAATAATCTACATAGCGCTTCAGTCATAATACGCGCGACGCCGTGCTCTCCGCGGCTCGCGCCGCCTGTGCACAGGCTCCTCGTACTCCCTCCGGCGCGCCTCCGCCTTGCGCTCCCGACGCGGTGTCTTCCTGATCCCCAGCGCGCGCCGGATCTTCGTCATGAGCGGGACGTGCGCCGAGCGGCCCTGCGGGAGCCAGTCAGTCAGTCAGTCGGACGGGGTGCGGGTGGTGGCGTGCGTACCATGGCGTGGAGCTCGGCTTTAGCGTGTTTGCGGCCTTCGCGGGTCGTCCGGGGGTTGGCTAGTGCGGCCTCTGTAGATCCCTGAGCTGTGGGTCTGCCCGGCGCTGGGCGGACACTTACTGTACCCTCCCGCGACGCGGTCTGGATCTCGGCGGTAGAACGCTCGGTGGTGGCGACGCTTGGAGTGGGTGAACAGATTCATGTGGGGTATGTGTTGTGTTGTGGGGAGCCTGTACTCCAGACGAGAGCGCATTTTAAGCATGCGGGGGAATGTGTGCGTCATTGTGGTGTCTACATCATGGCTCCGTGCTAGGTACGCAAGCGAGGACCGATTGATGTCAGCCCTAATAGACTACGGAGAAATATGGTTATCGGTCCTGCTATCGGAGAATCTCAAAACGGCAAAAACGATTGGTTTCGACCGGGTTCGATCTTGTCCATCTCCATCTCGACCTGCAGAGCATGCTCAGTCGCAATCAGCACAGCACCAAACGCAGCGACTGACCGCATCAAGCTCGTCGTCATCGTTGATAGACCGTGAGGCCATCGCCTGGTTCATCGACCCCACAGCCAAGATCGATCCAGCACCGAGGCGGTCATCTCCCAACGTCGGGTTCGCGGAAAAGTGCATAGCCCCGATATTGGACGACAAGGCGCGAGTAGCTTTTGGCCTGATAAAGTTTCTATTGACATTTGCGAGAAAGGCGGTCATGAAGGAGCCAGGCATGGCCAGGAAGAACAGAGCCCAGACATCTATTAGACATCAATGAGCGTACGATGCTACAAGAGGACCGACTGACAAGTGTCGGGCGATATAGCAAGCTGTGCGACAGTGAGAGTGATGTAAGGGCAAGACAGCAACGAAGCTCACACAGATAGCGGTGGCACCAGCGACCACGCTTGTTGTAATGCAAGTGTCTGTGGAGACGATAAGACTGCGTTTGTCATGCTGAATGCTGTCACCCACTGGTCGCATACAACACGAGCTGATTGAGCACCATTCCCGTTCTGGCAGTGGCAGGCCCCTCAGCTGTCATCGGGAGTGATAGGTGGATCCTGGTACTGACCGTCGTGTGACACCAAATCTTGATTGCAGCTCGAGATACATGGACAAGACGGCAGCGTTCGTCATATCCAGCGCCGCCGTGCCAAGAAACCATCCCTTGAGCACAGAGTTCTCGCTCTCGACCAATGTCAACAAGGAGTTGCTTCGAACTGCTTTGGCGACCAGCAGCAGCGACACGGCTTGGAGCGCAGCGACACCGCACCACAGAGCGACAGAGATATACAGTTTGTTCGTCACTTTGTATATTCGCGCCACAAAGAAGGCCTGTGTCATCATAGCAGACGCGTTTGGTAAGATGATCGCGATTGACTAGCCTGTGTGCCGTGATTTATGAGGGATCTGCAAAGTTATTCGTTACTTGTCAGATCACAAGCACAAGGACAGCACAAACCCAATGAGAATGGCCACATTGAATGCTATCGGAGTTCTAAAATCCAGACTATCCAGAGGAACTGGGTCGAAAGTCGGCAATGTCAGACTGTAGATCCCCTGGGCCAAGCAAACGGCATAGATGAACTCTAAGGTGCTGGGTGACACTCAGGCATCGCATTCACGAGCAGAACTTCAGCGCATACCATAGAACCGAGACCTACAGTCTATCAGCATGGCCCCCAAGCTCTGCCGAAAAATCCTTACGGTCGCTTTGAGCGGCAGCCCATCACGCGGAAACGCCTGGAAGTAGTTGGCTCCTTGGACGCTGTTCAGCCCGAAGAAAAAGACTGTGAAGATCCCGCCAATGACAAACGGGCCCAAGGTCGTGCTAATCGGCATGGTCTCCGGGCAGGCAAGAAGTGAAGGAAGGGGGGACACGGGGGAATCAGGCCTTCGTCGAAGGTGCCTGGCCGTACAAGAGTACATCTCAGCATCATCTTCTGTTGCCCGCGTCTCCTGGATGCATCTTTCGCCGGGTCGGGCCCCCGTCAATCCAAGTTATAAGTAGACGCGACTTGGTGCTCGGATCGAGCGACAACATGAGCGGCACAGCATGGCCTGTTTAGCAGCTCTCGTGATAGGCTGGCTGCATGTGGCACGGTGAGGGAGCCGCAGACAGATAGCCATCTTCATCGCTGTCTCTGGCTGTCGAAGGTCGTTTGAGCGGTCGAATCTGAAACAAGAAGGTGTACGGGTTTGATTCGGAGGACACACGACTCCACGTGTAGGGGTGTAATCGTTGAAAAGGACTAGGCGTCCCCGAGGGCGCAAGACGCGTCGTCGACGCCACTAGACCATGGACTCGCCGTCATCGATACCTCATTGAGACTATTGCAGTCCTGTCGCGGGGGTCTGAGTTGCCGTCGTCGAGGACTGAGGTTGCCGGCGGCTAAGCAAATCTGTACGGTTGGATGTTCGACGTTGATGCATTTGCAAAGTTGTACGGGCCGGATCCGCGGCCAATGATATGATCCCATGCGCAAGTCTCCACAGATGTGAGAGGGTCCATAGAAGAGAGACTCGTGAGAAAGATCGGGCGTCGATCACGAGGCACCGAGATGCTGAGCCGTAAGCCTGAGATACCAAATTTACATCTCGCAGCGCGTGGGCTGATACTGAGACTGGACCGAGGTGAGGTCGATGCCGCGTACGATAGATGGATGCAGGGCGTGAGCGCGTGAGCTTTGTGTTGCGCGGATCATGATCAATGGCGATGATAATATCCGATCTGCTCTCGTGTCTGTATTCCCAATAAATTATATCACATATTACATCTACACCGCATATTTTGCACTCGAGGACGACACCTCCACATCCGAGACCGACTAGGCCTCCGGATGGAGCGGGCTGAAGCGGGGCACGAATTCCAGCGTCTTCGCATTCAACCTGCGCGCCACCTCATCCGCATCGCGCTCTTCAACCTGTATGTCCGAATCCTTCCTGTCGCGGATCTGGTCGCCGGTTTCGAAATCGCGGGTCAACTGAGATAGACGGGGAGGGATCGTGAGTTACGAGATGGGCATCCGAGCCGAGATTCGCCCTGATCACGTACCACGACGCTCCGCGAAAACTGGATGACGGTCGTTTGGGTGCGGTGGTTCTCGACGCTGCGGATGACAGCAGTGGAACTGCGTACGCTCCTGTCGGTTTTGCGGTTGTTCACGTTGACGATCATCGAGTCAACGAAAGAGCTCGGGACGACGATGTAGAACATGACCCAGATGTCTGCGTGATGGGTCAGCCGCATCGCAGGATAGCAAATGGTCTGGATCCTACAATTTTTGGAGTTGACTGCGAACTAGAGCCAAGCTTTAAGCATCTAGAGAAGGGGGAAAAGGAGGCCTGCGATCACTTACAGACACTGCTGCAGCCATGGCGATGAGACTGAGAGGATATCAACATAATGAAGGTCTTTTAGGAATATCGCCAACCTTGTGGAGAGGCCAGTTCCTATGCACTTGTCAGTGCCAAGAAACGCGTTGTCCCAGAAAAGCAACTCACGGATCGTATAATGCACCAGCTCACTCAATGTGCGGCTGACTCTGCACGCGCCATTCAGACGCTACAAAGTGCTTTATGATCTCGAAGCACGCACTGGTGTCTCGAATCCGTCCGCGGGGTCCGCAGGTAGTAAAAGGAAAGCAATCCAGCGCAAATCAAGTCCAAGATCGCGTCTCCGAAAAGCGTCACGTCAATGAGCCAATGCCAGGTCCTCCCCATCTCCACAACTGAACCCATCTGCTGGATCTTCGCGGCCATCGACAACGATAGGCCTCCAAGGATGGCAGCAACCGTCCATAGCGGGATGGCAAGAGAAAGCAGCCCGCCGCTCAGCTGGTACAGTCGGAATACGTAGTAAGCCTGGAACCATTGAGCCTCAGCAGCAATCCGCGTCGGGGGCATACTTGGGCGATGTGATGCAGCAATGACCCCGCCACCATCGCGATTCTCAGTCCCGCACTGACTTGGGACGCGTCGTAGTTCGCATCGTCGCTCACGCCCATCGTGTACACGCCGACGCAAAGACACATCGTGAAGAGGAAGTCCACGGTCCTTTGGCCCTCCCGTGAGCCACGAAGAGACTGGCGACGGCAGTAGAAATACCATAAACCAAGAACCTGCGATGAGCCGATCGGTGAGCGTGCATACAACTTGGACAAGCCCCAACGCACTCGAGTCTTCGTGTAAAGCGTGTCCTTGGCGAACGACTTGGTGTAGTTGATGGTTTGCATGCAGATCATGCCGAAGAAGAAGATCGCGAAGCAGAGACCGACGAAAAGCGGGCCCACGGCCACGTCCTGGTTGCTGCTGTTCATGGCCGCAGAGGAGACACACGAGAGACGACGAGCAGTGCGACCCTCGGAGCCCGATGAAATAGACGTATCATTGGATGGGAACCCGCGTCAATCCAACGTCGAGCCCTCATCTCTACCACGATCACTTCTCTGTAGATGGACATAAGCCGAGTCTGCCAGTTGCGGTGCTGGATAGGCTTCTTAGGCGGGACGTGGTCAGCGGACAGATCAAGGTGGGAGTGGGAATGCTGAAACGCGGTTCAGAATCTGGGATCAGCTTGAAATAGACAGGAAACCGAAGACACAAGACTGAACATGGTGATGGCACGGACAGTGTGTACGAATGTCTTCACGCAGCAGTGATGGTATCAAATTATCATGCTTGACCAATTTGCGCAACTCAAACTCTAGACCAGCATCACACATTTACAGTGCAGAGAAAATCGAAACCCTGCGATATGATGACACTCTCTGCGGTAGTTATTCAAGTTTGAAAAGGCACCGTCCCGCCGCGCACCCAACGGTGAAACGGGCCCCGCAACCCAATCAGACTGGTCTTCGCACGCTGGTAGTCGACACTCGCATCTTTAGCATCCTGGTACAAAGAGCTGTGAGAGGGTCAGATACAAATACGGCCGTTCGGATGGATGGGTATCAACAGCTCATCTGGAGGATGCCCGCAAGCCTCTTGATATAGCACCAACATGGACGCTCGACAGATTGAGGGCCCGTATACGGTTTCTTCAGCCAGGCCAGTTTGTCGGAGATGAATATATCACACCTGAATTTCCCTTTCTGCCGATGCTTCGGCGCGACGCCGCGTTTATATCCGTTAATGATGACCTCTGCTGGTCTGTGCGAGTCGGAGATCCAGCAAAGCGCTGCATGCAGGTCAGAAGATCCCCCGCGCTGGGTGTGAGACCACATGCATTCGTGACACGAACTCGCGGCTTCGGGTAAAGAACGGCGCGAATGCACAAACGGGACGCTAGTGAAATGAATCCGCGGTGGGTGCAGTGAGAACCTATCGCAGGCTACGCAGATGCGACCGGGAGACAAAGACACGATAGATGAAAACTCACCTGGGATTCCATCCAGTCGTTTCCAGAGAGCCCGCTCGCAGTCGTTCCTCACCGCTTCCTGCATGTCGGAATCCACCTCCCCGATGACAACATCGGATATGAACAGTGGCTCCAGGAGACGAGACCCCAAAGCACCCTGGATGCCCAGGAAAGCCCAGGATGCGATTTTGTCGCTGCAGCACATCGACGCCGTCGATGGAGCGTCTGCCCGGCCGGGCTTTGTGCGAAGGACACCAAGAACGCCGTAACCGTCTCTTCCGCGCGTCACGAGGGCCGATTCGGCAGCAGCAGCAGGGACACGGGAATGAGCGTCTTTGAGCGCAGCCATGGCTTCATCCTGAGAAGACGCGAGAAAGTGCATCGACGCGTCGCCACCTTCAAGGAGTGTGTTGCAGCGCGGTGCGGGAGACCTGACGACGAGGGGCTCTTACAGGGGACAGTGGAGATGTAGATCCCCAGCTGAGCGTTTGCATTCAGAGCGAAGCGTCCGGTCTCCGTTCGATGGATCCACTTGGATGCCAGCCCATCTCGCACGCGTATCACCTCTTCGAGAAACCATCGCACTGCCCCCCGACGCGCGAGCACCTCTGCGTGGCTGTCGTGAATCCCTTCGCCGGACACGGGTAGCTTATTGGCGGGAAGGCACTTGGTCCCGGTGGCCATGGACACGATCTGGAAAGAGGATGCATCTCGAAGGAAGAAGGACGCCAAGATTGTCCACTGAGTGGGTTGCGGGAAGACTCTGAGTGTCTCGTACAAAGTCGTAATTGATTTGACGTTTGTTTCGGTTACGGACATGGATGAAAGAGCATCAGAGTCGAGGGTCCAGACAAGAGGACTGCGCGATCCTCAGAAGACGGATCGGCTGTAAGGCCCGAAGCGGTCCCGCCAGTCCCATTCCTGATGGCGGATCAATTTTACAACTGATGTTCTGCAGCAGCTGATCCGGATCATCCTGGTCAGCACAGCGGGCTGGGCATCCTGTCTCTATTTCAGACTTCAGTGCTTAGAAGTGAGCAGACCTTTTTCTTGCACGGAAGTCACACAAGAATCTAGAAGTGCTACTTTCAGCATTCTATTTGTAGCGAACAAAAAGATACCAAAAATCGACGTGAATAAACTCAGCGATTTGTACCAGGTATAGACGTCGATTTTAGTATCTTTGGTTTTCTGCAAATAGAATGCTGAACATGGAACGCTCAGATTCTCGCGTGATTTCCTCGGGAAATAAGAGTAATAATAGGAGTGCACCTCCGTTCGGGTAGTCTTCAGAACAACTCGGTCACGATACACGATGACGAACATTGAATTGGTGCTCAGAATCCGGATGTTAATTCACATTAAACACTAAATGTACAACCCAAGTCGACAATAACTTTACGATGGAGACGGAGCGCGCAGCGAAACAGGGGTAGGCAAGCTCCCGCCTGCCTCACCAAGCATGTTCCGCCATGCCTGCAGCAGAGCGACCCCGACTGTAGGCTCCAGTTCCGTCCCGTCCCTCGACACCTTGATCTCCCGGTTGTTGTTCCACGGATTGCGCAGGTGGCGCGTCCGGTGGAACGGCAGAGGATGCGTGCAGATCCAGTCCAACTCGAAGCCTTTGCCCCAGCCTTCCGGCTCGGGGTCGTTCGCTACCGGTTGTGGCTGCGAGTGCGCCATGAGCTGGTCCAGGCTGAATTTCGGATCAGTCTGGTTCCTGCTGGCGTTTGTTGCCCCGCCGGCGAGCTGGGCAGGTGCCGATTGGTAGTGCGGATGCCCCAGCGGGGGGGATCTGGATTCGCATCCAGGGCTAGGGGACTTATCCACCAGCCTATCTGCACCGAGCATGGCCTGAATGGGTGAGGAAGGAGACGGTCTCTCGCGAGGAGACCAGGATACCGGCTCACGTGCTGAGCCGGGTTTGCTGGTCATTCTGACGAGAACACAGTGTAAGTGAAGATAAGATGAGAAGGATGTGATTGACTCACCGGCCATAACCATAGAATTCCCCGCTCTTGTTGACACTAAAGAAGAGATACACTTCATTGGACGTGCGGAAGGCTTGATCGAGAATCCCTTCGTTATGTTTTTGAGTGGCCCAAATACCAGTCCTGGTGCTCAGGTCAACATCATCCTGGCTATTCGGTCAGTTCAAATGGCAAGAAATCCAATTTGTCCCACCTGCGTCAAAGACTTCATGATAAAGAATCGCCGAGGGAAGTGCGTGGTCAGGAAGCTCGACGACGTGCTCGCGTTCGAGCCAAAGCTGTCCGAGCTGTTGGGTTTGCCTCCGTTCGTGGTCGCCAACTCGGGCCGTTCAAGCTGAGGTTCTGACCGTTTCTCGGAGTCCCGCACCCACTGCCTGTGCAGGCCCATCCCCCGCTGGCCGCCGACCCCGGCCCTCAAGTCATCCGTCTGCTTGCGGATCCGACACACAAGCTTCGGCAGCCGCCCGTCTCGTCGCAGCGCCGACCCATCGAACCGCAATATGGCCGTGGCCAGCCCGGCCTCGGACACGTAGTTGACGAACGCACAATTTGACCGGGAAATGATGAAGATAGACTCGACAGCGCTGCTCTCGTCCGGCCCCTGCTGCTCGTCAGGAACCCGCGTGAAGAACCGCCACAGCTCATCTTGTGTTGCGTCCTTCGGGACGTTTCCGACCCACATAGCCCACGGCGAGCGCTGAGCAGGCGGGTCAGGATGGTAAGATTGACGCATGCTCGGGGAGGGTTTCTTTGCCACGTCCGTCGTTGTTTCGACTTTCAGTGCAGTGAGTGAAGAGCTGCTTTGGGATGTCGGGGTTCGGGATAGAGGAGGAGGAGGGGCTGGTGACGGGCCTGGATACATGTAGACCATGTGAGGGGGGATGCCTCTTGGGTAAGAGTGCGCGTATGGGTTCGAGTAGTTGAACATTGGGATCGCATTGGGACTGTGCATGGGAGAGGTCGGAACAATCTGGAAGGGATACGGGTGTGTGTGCATAGGCCCATAGAATGCGGGGGAGAAGTAGGTTCCTATAGGTGATTCCGGCCCCGGCGAGCCATGAAACGATCCTGGAGAATGGAATACAGGGTCGTTCATCTGAGGAAAATAAGGCATAGCCCCTGGCGAATGACTGTAGGGGCGAGGCTGGTTGTTCGTGGAGTAGATGTGCTGTTCATCGTCCGGCGCTTTGGAATGCGTCCCATCATCTTCGAACGGTCAGTTTCTGGGTTCACGCGAGACGAAAGACCGACAGTTGGCCGCCATGTTTTGCAAATAATCGACCCGAAGAGAGAAATATCTGGCGCACGGAATACCCGGCTAATTCGATGCCAGAGTCCGACGCAGAGAACGGGGCCCCACTACGGGACATTCCAGCTGCTATAAGTACTAGGCGACTGGAAACAGCTCCGGATGACATCATCCTTAGGAATGCGTCACCCGATTACACGCCAGCAAATCTGCGACTTGGTCAGATGGTGTTACCCACATGGGAAGACTACGGAGAGACGGGAATACCTGCGCCCAGACATGGATGTATGCGTCCACGGTGCACAACACTGCTGAGTCATGAACCTCGCCTCGTCAACGGCCGATGCCCCCGGCGTCCTGAGTGCGTGAGGATTGGTATCGCCATTGCAATAACGAAGAGAGAGTAATATTGAGGTTCGCATCCGCGCGTTCAAGTAGCTGAGTGAAGGTGGACAAGGTGAACGAACTTGCGTCGCCCTCGCAATCGAGATTGGCCCTCGATTCTGATCCACAACGCCTGGATCCATTCTTCCGAGTGGGTCCGAAGATTACGCAAGGTCTGTGGTTCGACTCTGGAAGAGATGTCGATTTCGGATTTTATCGGGAGCCCCTACATCCCAGCCTTCGCGCACCATTGCTAGGCAAATAAATGAGTATCACGTCATATCACTTCAAGATCGTAACGTGGTAAAGGCCCCGCGCAGCGGAGCTCAGCTGCCTAACTAAACGGGCAACCGCAGTCAATCACAATGTTCGAAGTCCATCATTCTATCCTTGATTCCTGAGGCCGCTCGTCGAGGGAGCAAGTGCTTCTAGTGACGAACGTTTAACCATTGCAGCAGAAGACGAGCGGGAGAGGCAAGGATTGACCCTGTCAAGAATGCAGTGATGCGCAATCACTGGTAAATCCTGGCTTCTTTTGAGTACTTGTCGCAAAAATAATTGATTTGTTATCGTTCCTGAGCAGGACCGATAACAAGCGGTCAGACCATCAGGCTGACGGTTCCCCGATGCCAATGGAAAAGCTCGAATCAGTACTTATCAGACGCTGGTCAGGCAGCGGTCAGCAATCTATCATCTGGTTGTCAGTCCATGGTCGGGTGGGGGTTGGGAAGGGGCAAACAAAAATGGATTTTCTCACTGTCTTCCTTGTTACTTCTTACTCCTCACAGCTTTCTGACTTCATTTCCTTCTTTCTTTCTTTCTTACTTACTTAGCTCATTAATGTTCTATGTGATTCAAGCTTGCCAGGATATGCAACTCAAGGTAGGAATTGAACTCAGGTGGCTTTCTCATTACTTGCTCCACAATCGGAGTGGGTACTTTACTACTAGTCTACGTGTGCGTGTAGTGACAGGTGTGATTGTCGGGTAAGTGACATCGGAGAAACGACACAGCCACCTGGCGCACGATGACGCAGGCCACCATGACGGACTCCACTCAGTTCCTTCGAGCCCTAAACTCTTACATCATGTCTGCTATTGATTTATTGGCTATCTCCTTAATTACCCAATATCAGATCTGAGAACATTTAATCAATTGCTGACATTGTCTGACAAGACACTGACCATGACTGACCAGGCCTGAGCAATCTGACCAGTGACCGACCGCTGCCTGATCACAACTTATCGCGCCTTGTCAGACCCTGATCAGTTTGTCAGGCCCGATAACAAATCAATTATTTTTGCGACACTAGTACCAGGTTAAGCAAGCCAAGTACACTAGCTATTAATAATACACTGTGGCCGCCTACGACGATCTCGGTAAATGGTGTGATATCCTGAATGTTTCGCGCGTCATCGATGGACTTGGACCAATCTTTAGACATCCAGTTACTATACGTAGATGTTCGGGATGCAACTTTCTTTCGCTCTCTATTGTCCAAAATCTCGGACGACAAACTTTTGTAGAGCGAAAAAATTGCCTTATAAGTATGCTGTCTCACAAAAAAGCTGTTCAATTAAATCTACTTCGTTCGATTCGCGTAGACTAACGTCGAGAAGCCAAGAATGACTGAGCCGTCTCGTGGTTCAGAACATCGTTTCTTTCGGTTAGGGTCCAGTCAGGGTCTTGCGTTTGCTCGGGCGCCCGAGGCTACTTCGTGCTATTTCTATAGACTTGGCCTTACACAGCATCCAGTGCGATGTGAAGTAAGATGCACAGTTCCTGCGAATCTCAATCAGCTCGTCGTCCGTTGCGCGTGGTGGATCTCGACAGCAAGCTGCTCTCGAATCACGGAGGCAGTTGAGGCCGGATCCTCGCTACCGTTCTTTGGGTCAACAAGGGTCTGACCGGGTATGATTGTGGACGTTGTTCGTCCGCACACATTTTGGTCATTGACAATACGTGATCAGCCCTGCGCCACAATGCCTTTAATAGGTGGTAATATAATATAATCACAATTTGTCATGTCGCCCTATGCCTCATCTGCCGCTGCGTGCTAGCTGCTCTGGACGGACTGACATAAGGAGGAAATGTCGCCATTCTTAGTCCAGTTCTTGTCAACATATTAGCTTAGTCGCGACAGCGACCAGCCACGCTGGCCGAGTAACCCAATCAGGCCCAACCCGACTTGACAGGTGGCACTGAAGGGCAGACGCGTCCACCGAGCCGTGCTAGCATACGACTTACAGTGACTGCTACCCTGAACGCAGAGTTAGTTCTCTCATTCTGACAGTGAGATGAAATGCCGGGGGACACGACCTGTCAACGACACAAGGGCTTTGGGATCGACTAATGGTGATCGAGGTGCACCGTAGTAACTAGTATCCTCCTGAACGGCGCATAATGTCTTACGACATCTCAACATCTCCATCCTCTCCCCTGGGGGCACCGCGTGGCACGGAGTTCGCAAGCTCGCGCCGGATTTCAGGGCCAATCTGAGCGTGGGGTGTGGCGCGCACGACATCCAATAAGGCGTCCTTCTGGTCTGGGGTCAGATCTGAGCCATACCTGACCACAAGTGAGTCAGAGATCTGAAGAGTGACCAAGACGCCCCACCTTTGAGCAAATACAAGCAAGCTCTGGTGCCATAAGACCGGAAGTTTGTCCGAATCAGCCCGTGTCTTGGCTTTGTATGTATTGGAGAGCCGTATAAAGTGGAACACCAGCGCGTCGACCACTTTGTACGGCAGTTCGAACTTTTTATCGATGAGCACACGAATGAACAGAGAATTGGGTCCTGTGAAGCGTTGGAAATCGGATAAGTGAACCGGAAGAAAACATACCGGAGTAATCCATCTCGGCTATCCGAATCAAGGCAGCTGAAGCATGGAGCACGGGTATTTTCGTTCGTGCAAGCACAGAAGCGATAATAGCAGCTTCTTTGAGAGAACAGCCTTGCTATGGTCATCTTAGCCCAGAATGTGACAACCGCAGTCGATGAAAAGCGTACATCAAGCATGGGGAATATAAGACCCTTGAAAAACGCGCCAGGCTTGTACATGGCTCGTCGAAGGGCATCGAAGTAATGCACATTAAGCTTCTTGTTTTGGCGGATGTCCTCTCTAATCGCGTCTAGCAAGACGACACTCAAGAAGAGCTGCGCTTGCGGTGGCTTCATGCTAGAGATGAAGATCCGGGTAGCAGCCAGACAAGCATGCGGCGACCAGTTTTCAGGCTCAGTGATCGCAAGCAACCGTGCCCAGGCAGGGAGCGAAGGGATGACCTTGAAGATTTTCGGAAGTGGGCCGGACTTGTATTTGTGCAAGAACATCCCGAGTCTAGATACGGCTTGCGTGAAAGTTGCGAACGAGCAGACGGACACATACTTTTCGTACGACTCGACGACTTTGGGGTCAAGTCCTAGAGTGGGATCTGGTCGGTCTCGATCTGCGAGCACGGTTGAGGAAAGTGACGGCCAGGGCGGGGGGAAATGCCTACCTTGGGAAACCTTTTTAATCACAGCAGCGTTATCGGTTTCGCCGCTCTCAAGTTTGGCAAAGATGATGTCGGCCAAGGTCCTGCGTTCACCAGCGTTATGGGGATGTAAAGCATCGAGGGTTTGCAGGTCCTCCTCGTCAATGTCCTGTCGGAATAACTGAGTTTCTGCAGGTGAGTCGGAATGTGGTTGCGCACGAAGATCTCCTCCACATCCTCCTCGTCCATGTTTTCATCGAGGTCCGACTCTTCATCCGAGTCCTTGGCCATTCGGGGCTTCGCAAAAGCAGATACTCGTGGTTCTTCATCCTCCAGCTGCTCATCGAGTAGTTCGAGCTCATCCTGCTGATCCTTGGCTAGCTCGAAGATACGTTTCGAGGTTTTAGGGTCCAAGATAACCTGAGCTCTGCATTGAGACGACGATGGGCTTTGGATGAGCGATAGGGAAAAGCACCTCGGAATCATCCTCATCCCGAGCATTTTTCTTTTTGCGTTTTCCCGGTTGACTGACTCGCCCATAACGAGCTTCGATCTCGTCGTCGCCGAGCTGTACGAGCAGCGGATCGTGTCTTGACTTGCCAGTCGACGAAGAGGCTTTGCGAGTAGCAGGCATTGGATTTTTAGATTTGTTTGGATCCGGATATGATGAGAAGAGATGTCAAGCGGCTCGAGCCGAGCTTTGGAACACGCCAACCCCTTGACGTTCTGGCAAGTATAAAACAGGGCCTTTCGCGTTCCTGACTCTTTTGAAGCACTCACTCCCACCCGATTCTTAAAGATGTCCCCTGCTGCGCCCAACCCGGTGCGTTCTCTACTATCCACGCCCAATTGTCCGTTGACCACGCCGTAGATCAAAACCACAGACAAGGAAGGTCGCGAAATCACGACCGTTGGCTTCGAGCGTTTCGGCTTCGACTGCGAGGTCCCGCTCGATGTCCTTCGCTCGCTGTATCTGCGTCCCCACTATGTCCTTTCCGCCAACGATCTCCCTCAGGAGGCTGCCCAGCATGCCCAGTTCACTCAGGGCACGGATTATCAGTCCAAGTCCATCTACCACCCCGATACCAAATCCATCTCGTACACCACTCTTTCGCGTTTCCCTCCCGTCACTCTTCTCGCTCCTTCCCTGCGGAAGCGCATCCTTGTGACTGGTGGAGCTGGTTTCGTCGGCTCGCACCTCGTTGATCGACTGATGCTCCTCGGCCACGAAGTCACCGTGCTGGACAATTTCTTCACGGGCTCCAAGACGACCGTCAGTCACTGGGTCGGTCACCCCAACTTCGAGATGGTCCGTCACGACGTCGTTGAGCCTTTCATGATTGAGTGCGACCGTGAGTATATGCATCCTTTCGCGCTCATTTGACGCGTTTGCTGATGGCGCGCGCGTAAGAAATCTATCACTTGGCCTGTCCGGCTTCGCCCCCTCACTACCAGTTCAACGCGGTGAAGACAATCAAGACCTCGTTCATGGGCACTCTCAATATGCTCGGTCTCGCTAAGCGAACGAAGGCGCGATTCCTGATCACTAGTACTTCGGGTGCGTGCTCTGCCCCTTATGCGGCGTGTAATGACCGCTCATGATGATTAAACATGCAGAGGTGTATGGTGACCCCGAAGTTCACCCCCAGCACGAGGATTAGTGAGCCAACTGATTGCTAACCGACTGTCGCACGCGCTGACGATCTATGTCCAGCTGGGGGCACGTCAACCCCATCGGCCCGCGTGCTTGCTACGACGAGGGAAAGCGCGTCGCCGAGACTCTCACTTACGGCTTCCAGCGCCAGGATGGCGTTGACGTCCGCGTTGCTCGTATCTTCAACACTTACGGGCCTCGAAGTACGTCCTCTAACATCATGTATGCATTTCATTAACGCAATCTGACATGTCTTTAGTGAACCCTTACGACGGCCGTGTCGTGTCCAACTTTATCGTGCAGGCGCTCAAGGGCCAGGACATGACTGTCTACGGCGACGGCTCGCAGACTCGTTCGTTCCAGTACATCCACGACTTGATCGACGGCCTTATCGCGCTGATGAACTCGGACGAGACTCGGCCCACCAACATCGGAAACGGGGACGAGTTCACGATCGGGGAGTTTGCTGAGCTGGTCCGTGAGATCGTCGAGAAGGTGCAAGACGAGGACGGGATCAAGCGCACCCGCCGCGTGAACATCATCCACGAGCCCATCCCCACCGACGACCCCCAGAAGCGTCGCCCGGACACGACTCGTGCCAAAGAGTCTTTGGAGTGGCAGCCGCGCTGGACGGTGCGCATGGGTCTGGAGGAAATGGTACGCTACTACAAGGCGAAGATGGATGAGGGAAGCTTGTAAATGTTTTGCCGCAAAAGAATTCACGCTCGTTATACATACATCCATATTCATTCGCTTCTCGCTAGAACTTTAGACATTGTTATTAGTGTACCTCTGGAATTCAGGATGGTTGGTGTGCATGTAACTGACGACGAGAGTCGTTTACTATAACGTTTTTTTCGTTTTCGTGAAGATGCTGAATATGGATGACATATATATGGGGGTATGGCCGCTGATACAGTACTGATGGACAGATGGATGGTATATGATGATATTACAGAAACAGCTTCTGCAACGTGGGTTGGGTGCCGACGACTCGAGCCATCGAGCCCTTGATGACACCTTTCTCAACAGAGCCCGAGTTGAACGTTCCTCGTCGTAAGCGGTTGTGATCATTGGAAGTCAGCTCGGGTTGCGGCATCGGAAGTGGCCTATCGGACCGGACTCCTCCCTCTGGAAAGTAACGGCCGCCTGGAAGATATATCCGCATCAGCGCACGGCGGCAGGCCCGGAACAGAAAGGAGGCAGACCTGCATATGATATGCCTTCCGACTTGCTCTCGAACCAATCATCCCGGGGTCGCTCCGAGTATCTCCGAATTGGTCTCCCTGTCGGTCCAAGAGGCAGGAACGCGGTACTTTGCCCCCTTTTGTAGGCTTCCAGCGCTTGGCTCTGCCGCTGCACGATCTCTTCAGAGAGACAGCTGAAGGAAAGGGACGACATCGGATCTCGCGTTCGCAGATTGTCTCCCGTGATTGTTTCCAGTGTGACCAGAGCCTCCCGCATTCGGTCTTCGACTGGCCGTATGCTCGCAGGAAAGTCGGACTCGACGTGAGGCAGACGGGAAATGAATTTGGTGTAGACCTGGTTCACGATGGACGCTGTGCCAAGAGGAATGCTGAGATAGCCTCCGCCACCTGCAAGCGCCATCAATGTCAGGGATGGAACAGACAATGGGATGGGATCGATCACCTTTGACAGTGTATAACACCGCCTTGAGCTCATTGGCTAAGCGTTCAGCATATTTCCGAGGACATGCCTCGTTCGCGTCTCCATGAATTATGAGAACAGGCTGTGTGATGTGCGTGAAGGCGGACGTCGGAAGAGGTGTTCGCTAAAAATACGGTTCGGTGAGAGCGAAAAGAGACCGGTCGGTAACTGACATGCATCAGGATATTCGCCTGCTCAAGAAGTCGTGTGCGTCGCCTTGGATGGCTTGTGACTTCCCAGTAGGCGATGAGCTGCGCAAGCGAGTGAACAACGCGCAGCTGCGAGATAAAGACCAGAACCCACCTGATCCCGCAAGTCGGGCGGAGTGTCCTGGAATTGAAATCAGTGGATAGGACACGGCGTACGGGAGTTGAACACGGACAGGCCCCAGAGTCAGAGTGACCGCTTCCATGGCAATATGCTCGTAGGACTCTAAATCCTCGGCAAAGCACCAGGTCTGTATCAGTTCATCGTACGCCGTGTAGATCCATTTGAGTCTGGGACGGGATCAATCACTTGACGTAACGCGTCAAGGTTGACGCACTCGGTGGGCGCTGGCACGTTACACAACGCCAGACTGAGACATAGTTCTGGAAATCTGTCAGGAAGCCTGCATCAGACGACCGCTGCTTTGGGGATGAAAAAAATGCGACCGACAGAGCCGCGAATCGGAGGGCGCAGTTGATAGCATTGCTTTCGAGAGCGAGAATGTGGAGCGGGGGAAGCTTCAGAAACTGCAAGAGGAGTTGGGCGGTCATAACTATGTAGTTCCATGCATGCATGCAGGGCGAGCGCTCACCTGATGGCAAAGGGCCAAATCCGCTGCGTCCACCCAGCTGTCGTGCTTCCCACTCGTCCGACACTCCGACTTCCCTGCGACCCGCATGTCGAATGCGATAAGATTGAACTCCGAATCCAGGCGAGGGTCTTCAAACTGCGAGTAGACCCATGAAGAATCGAGGAATGTGGGGTGCAGAATGCAGACGAGCGGTTTACTGGAATCGAAGCCGCCCACGTTGCCCGAAGGTGAGTTGGTTTGGTAGAAGATGGAAGCAAAGTCGTTCGAGCTTTGCAGGTCGACGAAAGGCATTGTGAGGAAGGGCTAATTGCAAAATAGTGTCCAGTCCAAAAGAGGATTTAGCGCGTCGAGACCATGGCCTAAGTGCAGAGGAAAAGCGAGCTGCTATCTTCGATCCCTGAGTGAGTCCGAGACGGTCTCCGGAGGAACCTTGCTACGCGGCCGATCGCATCCAGACACCAAACTGGTCATCCTCGGAGTCACGATCACTGGATCACTGCACATCCGTTGACTTCATTTTGGAGAAGGTACAAGCGGCCTGACAACGAACAGCGGAACGCGATGCGGATATTCATCGGCGCGTGGAAATTGGCGCGTGGCCCAAGCGGAAGGAGCCCGAACGAAATAATGGTATCTACGCATCAACGGACTACGGGCCGGAAACAAGGCCATTGACGGACATGGCTAACATTCAGCCTAAGATACCCTCTAAAACTTGTATCACACGCTGCTGGCGCTGAAACGGCGTCTTATCGGTTGTTTGCAGGAGAGGAAAGATGGTGATTCACCTCGGCGTCTGTTCTGACAGTAGTGGGAAACATGGTGGGGATCCCCAATTGGGCCAACGCCGACTGCTGGTTTGAGACCAATCCGTCCCAGGCCGGAACCACACGTTCAGAATCGAATCGTGCCAGTTCCTTTTCATATCCCGAAACAAGCATCTGCAGATGAGAGAGAGGAGAATCAGATTCAGGCTGTGCAGAATGCAACCCTGGATCCCACTTACATCTGCTTCGTGCTTGGACAGTCCGACACCGATCATGGTGGCCCTGAGGAATAACGCAAGTGAGACCAGACCACAACCGCGAATGTCACCGGAGCGCACTTGTTCTTGGCGACCTGAACCTTCTCTTCGAATTTAGTGCGGATGGCGGTGCGCTCGTCCCAAAGCAGGCGCTCTAATCTGTCTTGCTCTTGTTTGAGCTAAAACGTGCGTGATTAGAGCGAGCTCGCTGACGTGATCCAGACTATACCCGTTGGATGGCTGCGACCACAGCTGGATCCTCGGCCAGTTCACCGAGCCTCGGAAGAGCCTGCTGGAAAGACATCCCTCGGACATCTTCGATTACAAGAGGGGCGGTGTTTGAGACCGGCGCCAGAGTCTGTCCTCGTGCTGATAGAGTTGGAACTGGGATCGACGAGGGTCCATATGGTCGACTACGTGCCAGTTGCGGCTCAGATTGCGTGTTGGTGCTTGGGGTGGCGTTTAACTGTGAGAGAAGCGACGCGACAGACGGGGCGGGGATCCCAGGATCTGGTGTATGCTTATCTTGAGGGGAAGGCACCGTTTGAACAACCCCGCTTGTAGAGGCTTGGGAGTTGACCGCGTCTTGCCATGCTTGAGACCCCCTGAGTCGATCAAGAAGAGCCTTCACACTTGCTGCATCCTGTATACATTCACGACTGTTCACAAGAGCGATGAGACCTTACGATATTGGATGAACTCATGAATTGCCGGTGGTCAAGACTCGAGGCGGCTGCTTAGTACGACGTGTCACGTCCACGTGGCTGTGACGTGCAAATATTAATTTCTTTGTCGCGATCGGTAGGTCAGACTCAGACGCTAGCGGTGACTCGTGGCAATCATCCCTCTTTGCATGTGGACTAGTCCCGGCTACGGGCAACGTGGGCGGGGTGCTGTCTGTGATTCTGGCGCTGCCGTTGGGGCAATTTCGGAGGCCCGCTCCTCACTCATGGCAACCGATGACATTTAACTTCCACACACTCCAGTTCCTGTGTGAGCGCAAGGTCCGAATCAACGGGGATTTGTTTTGCCAGAAAGTGATTAAATTCAAAAAGGCCTCAGGAGAGATGGTGCCTTGGACAAGGGGATGGGTGTTCGACAGAGTCGAAGCACGATAGAGACGGCTGTTTGCGTAGGGATCCGGCCCCGAGAAAGGCAACGCGAGACAAACGAATTGCAGTAACCAAGTGACCTGACCTGACTAATCATAAACGGCATGGATGATGTGTGAGCGAGGAGGAGCTGGGAGCTGGGAGATCTCTGATCTGATATTCTAGGCACATCAAGAAGCCGTAACGCATCTGTAAAACCGCAGCGCGCAGGCTGAGCGAGGCTGAGCGGCAAAAAACAGCGCATTTCATCATGCGTGGAGAAGTGCACGGGATAGCCTCGCATTGGTCACCACGAAATGATAGAAATAAGAAAATGATGCAGGGTCCAAGTCTTCAGGAGTAACATGAGGTTGATGGCATGGAGTGATGTGACACAGGCCGAACGGCAACCGCCCTAGAAAATTCCCACCACCTCTTGTCGTCTCCTCCGCTAGTCTCCCTTCTACCTCTCCCTCGTCCCTTTCCTCTATCGTCGCCATGCCTCAAGATGACACAGGCACATCGTCTCACATGATGAAGACCACAAAGCGGGGGAGGCCTTTCCTCAAGGTCCGCTCCATCCCCGTCGTTGTCGTCCAGCGCAACTTCACACCCCTCACAGGACACCCTTGACTTATTTGCTACATTAATAGTGTCCCTGCAGCTGGGACCCCACAAACAGTTCTTCAAGACCTTTCCCAATTCTTTTTCTACGTGCGTGTTGCCACTGCTTCCAGCGCAGCGCCCCTTACCTCTCTCCCGCTAGCGACGAGGCCGCTCAGAACCTCGCCTCCTTGAAATTTTCGCAATCCAATCGGGGACCGGATCCCAGGGAGCCTTCGCGTGTTGTAACAACAACCACTACGACCACTTTTTCGATGACGCGTGACATGGCAAAGGCCATGAGCCAGCATTTCATGGATGCCCGTCTGATTGAAAACGCTACCGACCCCTCCTCCAATCTGTTCAAGGATCGTGGTGTCTATGTCCTCACACCCAAAGGTCTCCATGTGTTGGAGAGGTTCATCAGCAAGAACGGCATCAACGCCGACCACCTCCAGTCCGTGTTCGTCTCTCAGCCCATCTGCATCAAACTGCTTCACCTGGAACGTCGGTCGGTGGATGACGAGATCATCGTGACGCAGTCTGTTATCACAGCCCTTTTCCGCCGTTTCATCGGCCGTCAACCGAATTATGGCGCCCAGTCGACGGCTCCCCTCGACCCCTTCCAAAAGTACAATGAGCGCTCCAAAGGCTGCCAGCTCATGGACGTTTCGGACCGCTCTCAGTCGCTTCAGGGGAAGAATCCTGCCCACAAGTATTGTTTCGCCGCAGTTACCGCTCTTGAGTGGCTTTGCGATTTTACATCGGTTGTGGGCAGGGAGGAGGCTGCTGAGATGGCCGCTCAATTCGTGCGGTTCGGGCTCATCATCCTGGTGAGCGACAAACGGAAGAACAATGATTCCGCCATCATCTTTACCGTTCGTGGATCTGCACCCGGCGGAAATTCACCTGTCAGCGTACGTTGTCGTCTTCCGTTCCTATTACGTTTTTCTGATGTATCGATAGCAACACGGCGAGTTCCGCTGCACAGCTAAAGCCATCTACAAGATCACCGACGAGGGACGCCGGGTTGCGCACTGGGATAACACTCGCAGTCACGATTCGCCCAGCAGCTCTTCTGCTAATTTGTCCACGACACGGTCGTCGGTGGACGACCCCGAGCACGGAAATAAGAAGCCGAGTGATGCCAAAATTCACAGGAGGATCTCTATCGCCGAGAAGCTCAACTACGAAGCTCACAAAGCTGGTAAGGAGAGCAACACCGATCGTCTCAAGTACATTTTGGAGGATCCTGCCCTGCGTTCCCTCTTCAGGGAGTTCCTCAAAAGCAACTTCTGCGAGGAGAACTTGTCGTTCTGGCTGGAGGTCGAGGACTTCAAGCGCAAATTCAACATCACGTCGAGTGCCATTGCGGTCGGTGCTGGTCCCCAGAAGCCAGCTCGGAGCACACCGGGCCAGGCTGCGATGGAGAAGCACCACGAGTCGTTGATCAGCACGGCTTTCTACATCTACAACAAGTACCTTGCGCCGTCGAGTCAGTGCGAGCTCAACATCGACCACGGCCTGCGAAACGAGTTGTCCAAGTATCTGGAGGAGGTTGTGACCAGCATGACGGGCAAGGCATTCCAGGGCCAGGTCGACCCTGAGCAAGCCAACGCTTTCAACGCTACCCAGCTGCAGACGATGATCCGGTTATATGAACGTATTCAGACTCATGTTTTCCGGCTCATGGCTACGGATTCGGTTCCCAAGGTTAGTATCGCTTCTTTCTTCTTGACTCGCCGAGCTCATTCGTCGCCCAGTTCATCAAGACACCAAAGTTCCTGGCTGTGCGGAATTGGGTGGAGGACTTTGAAAACACCGACGACATCCGGATGCTTCCGTCGAACCCGTCTGCCCCTCCTGGTCTGGAAGAGACAGGTGGTGCATACATCACCATCTCTCAGCAAGCAAGCGAACGAGAACACCGGCTGCTTGCGGCCAATGGTTCGTAATGTGGGGTTTGCGTGGGTCCTTTGCATGGGTTTTGGCATCTCTTTCTATGCGCATCTCATTGCTTCTTCTTTCGACGCCGGGGGTTGTCGATCCGTCCAATAATGCTTTTCTCCTCCTATGCTGCATGACTGCGTGCTCGGTATTCATTCTTTTATGCCGTACATACACAAGTTCTTGTTACTACAAACTCACCTCTGCCACACTGTAATCTCTACGCTACACTACATTTGGGTTGGCTCCCAGTAATAACATACGCTGCTATTGTATATGGTCTACGAATGAACTATGCTTATGGAATCCCCCGTTTCCCATTTGTGCACGATTTGATGAGTTGGCTCACACGATCGTTGTCCTTTCTGCCGTCATGTCGTGGCTCGGTGGTCTAACCGGACAAGATGTGCCTACATATGTAACCCCCAAGGACGGTGAGTTGTATGGGAATACGATCGCTAAAGCCTTTCTCAATGGACCGACGCAGAGGCGAAGGTCCAGGACCCTGCTATCAAGGACCGCATGGTCTCCGCGAAATCCGCCAACCAACCGTTCCTGAGGTGACTCTCCGCCTCTACTGTGTTCCCCAGCTGTACACTCCGCTCACTCGGACGCGTCAGGCACCAGGAATATCGCGCGCAGCAGGAAGCGCTGCACAACGCCTGGCTGGAGAAGAAGCGTGTGCACGACGAGAAGATTGCACGCGGGGAGCCCGCCGGGCGGCTTGAGCGGGACCCTACGGAGCCGATCGACGTGGGGGTGTGGGGCCTGATTAAGTTCTTCCTCGGGCTCGCGGTGAGCATTGCGCTGCTGGGCAAGTTCGTCACGGGGAGCTATACCTGGGAGTACGAGACGCGGTGGCTCCAGTTGAAGCGGATGGTTCCCGTGAGTCGTGCTCGATATATTTTGCGCGTTTCGGTTTGGCTTGGCTGAATGGCTCGTAGATGGACGGACGGTTATTCTCTGAGCAGGCACTGTCGCAGTTCAACGGAGAGAACGGTAAGGCCACGTATATTGCGGTGAGCATGGCATGCGAGCACACCAAGCTGATATCACTGCTTACTGAGACGCGTAGATCGACGGTGATATCTACGACGTGAGCAAGGGGAAGGCATACCAGCCTGGCGGATCTTACCACTTCATGTGCGCTCTGCAACTTGTGGACGGCGTGCTTATGCTTAGTGATTGAATGATAGGGCTGGGATTGACGCAGCCCGGGCTTTTGGGACGGGCTGCTTCCAAACACACCGCACCCATGATCTGCGTGGCCTGTCGAATAAAGAGTGGGAGGTGAGTGTTCCCGCTTACGCAAGTTTCGATCCGTTGAAGTGTTATATCAGGGTGTTCAACATTGGAAGGGATTCTTCAAGAATCATAAAGACTACGTGAAAGTCGGCCGTGTCTTGCACCCGCCCATTGACCCGGCAAGCCCGGTCCCTGTGCACTGCGATGCCAGCAAGCAGGAGCAAGCCGACATTGAATCCGCCCAGCGTGATCGGTATTTGGCTCAGCAGCACGCAGCCGAGGCCAAGAAGTGGAAAAAGGTCGAGGAGGAACGCGAAGAATTGTAAAAGATATTTCGCAAGCCGTATGCTCTATAGTGAATACCAGTGTGTGCTAAAATCCGAAACATAGTCCAGTCTTCAATCCCAGAGTAAGAGTCCAAGGCTCCAGTTTTCTCATTGCATGCGAGGAGATCCGCGGGACCGCAGATAGTTTTTGAGAATGACGAAGTCGGCAATGGAAGCGTCGACCATCGAAGCGAACGGGCACTCATGGTCGCTGAACTTGCCAATGATGATGTTGCCTGCGAGATGCGATAAGATCGGATAAGATAAGATGGATGGACCAAGCTGACCTCGCCACGCCACTTTCTCGTCGAAATTATTGCCCTGCATGTCCCGAATGCTCTTGTTGACAGGAAAGGGCATGCCATCTCGTGAAATGGTGGGGTAATAGACAATGTACGGGTGGTTGAATTTCTTGCTCATGCCGTCCAGCGAGTCGACGATCTGCGCACGCAAATGGGTGAGACGCCGGCTGGGGAGTTCTTAGACACGAGCTCACGATATACCGCCATGGTTTGGCGCCACCGAGCCCAACTGATTCCGCCACCTGCAGGACTTGTAAGCGAGCATCAGACAGAGACAATCAATACTCACATAGTCCATGTGAGCTTCGGGATGAGGCATTCGTGTTCCACTTGGGGCAGTACCGTAGTGGGTGGGACTGGAGGGACATTGTCAGCCGAGGTGTGGCAGGGGGAAAACAAAACCCACCTCGTCATTAGGTTCACAACCGAAGGCTGACGACCTAGAGTGACACTGAGAGAGGAGTTTGGCAGCAGAAACCGCCGACAGACCATCAGTGGGAAACAGAATAGCTCGGAAGGGCACTAGTTGGTCCATAGAGGGAGAGGCGAGGACGAAGAGCGAGAGACAAGGCGGTGCGGGCTCCCACCACATGAGCCCGAGCTCTTATACCAGAACGAGATGTGAAGCGATCGCTGCATTCCAAAACCGGTGGACAG